GTATTGGTGGATAGGTCAGGAGTAGGGATTGCAGCCTCCTTAGGACTCAAGTGGGCCCTTGATGGGGGGACAAAGGTGGTCCTATAGTTTCCACCTCAGGCTCTCTGCAAGCCTGAGGGTATTTCCTAAAAAGAAAATTGTGCACTATGATTGCAAATCCTTCAGTGAGTACATATAGAAGGCAATCAGAGAGGTAAATATTAGAAAAAGAAACAGAACAATCACTATTAGCAAATATTTTTTTCTCTTTCCCAAGTAAAGGAATATTATCTCTAAATACTATAGCTTAGTTCTGCCCTCATTTTGGATTTTATTTTATTTTTAAAATATTTATTTATTTATTTTTAGTTTTCAGCGGACACAACATCTTTGTATGTGGTGCTGAGGATCGAACCCGGGCCGCACGCATGCCAGGCGAGCACACTACCGCTTGAGCCACATCCCCAGCCCCCTCATTTTGGATTTTAAATACATGGAATCATTTACATCCTTTGTGTTTGGCTACTGCTACTTTTATACAACTCTGGTTCATTGTCTTCTTTTACACTGTTGGTGGTTGCTTCAATTCAGTTTTTTAAAGAATATTTATTTTTTAGCTGTAGTTGGATATAATACCTTTATTATATTTATATATATGTGGTTTGAGGGTTGAACCCAGGGCCTCCCTCGTGTTAGGCGAGTGCTGTACCACTGAGCCACAATCCCAGTCCCAGATTCTTTGATTGTGTGTGTGTGTGTGTGTTACTGAGGATTGAATTCCAGGGCTTCATCCATACTAAGCACACACTCTACTTCTGAGATACCCCTTCAGCCTGTTTGGACTCATAAAACAATGCTGTGATAATCATTCTTGTGCATGAATATCTGTCTGACTGGATGGAATTGTTGGGTCTTTGGGTAATGAGATAACTTGAACTGCTATAAATACTGTCAAAGAGTTCTCTAGTATGCTTATATTCTTGCTAGCAATATATAAGAGTTCTCATTCCTCCAGATAGTTACCAAATTAGTATTATTCAACATCTATTCTTGATTTTTTTTTAATCCTCCTATTATTGGGTTCAGGGTGTAGCATAGTGTACATAGCATAGAGTACATGCATGCCTGAGGCCCTGGGTTCAATTCATAGCACCGAACACGAAAACAAAAACAAAATTTCTTAAAGCTATTATAGATACCTCCTTAACATGATAAAATATATTTACCTCAACTGTAAAGCTCATAACTTAATGAAGAAAGAGTAAAGGAGTCCTATTAAAATCAAGAGCAAAACAATGATATCTCCTATCACTAATTTTATTTAAAATTGTTCTAGAGATACTAGCTAATGAAATTAGACAACAGGAAAAAACCAGAGGAGGGGTTGGGGGTAGAGCTCAGAGGTGGAGCACTTGCCTGGCCTGTGTGAGGCTCTGGGTTTAATCCTAGCACTATAAAAACAGAGGAAAGGAAAGAAAAGAAGAGGAGAGGGGAGGGGAGAAGTAGGAAGGAGAAAGGAACAGAGGAGAGGGAAGAAAAAAAACTGGGTGTAGTGGTACATGGCTATAACCCCAGCTACTCTGAAGATTGCAGCAGGAGAGTGGTGAGTTCAAGTCCGGCTTGGACAGCATAGTGAGACCTCATCTCACCTCAACAACAAAAACAACAACAAATTGCGGGTGGAGGTATAGCTTAGTAGTAGAGTCTGTGCTGAGCATCTTCCAGGTTCTGAGTTCGATCTCCAAAAATGCAAAAAATTATAAAGATGCCAGGCGCAGTGGCACATGCCTGTAATCCCAGTGGCTCAGAGGGTGAGGCAGGAGGATTGAGAGTTCAAAGCCAGCCTCAGCAATTTAGCAAGGCCCTAAGCAACTCAGCAAGACCCTGTCTCTAAACAAAATATAGAAAAGGGTTGGGGATGTGGCTCAGTGGTTAAGAGCCCCCGGGTTCAATCCTGGGTACCAAAAAAAAAATCATAAAGATAAATTATAATTTTGATGGGCTGGGGATGTGGCTCAAGCGGTAGCGCACTCGCTTGGCATGCGTGTGGCCCGGGTTCGATCCTCAGCACCACATACAAAGATGCTGTGTCCGCCAAGAACTAAAAAAAAAAAAATAAATATTAAAAATTCTCTCTCTCTCTCAAAAAAAAAAAAAAGAATGTGTATTTAAAAAAAAAGATAAATTATAATTTTGAAAAGAATTATATGCATATGGTGGGAACAGGAATGAAGGGAGAATGACATTTCCTTATTTCCTTCCATATATTTGAATGTTGCACTATTTAAATTATTTATCAAAAAATTTTAGAAATGTTAAACTATATTTGTTTTTTTTAAATTTTTTAATATTTATTTTTTAGTTTTTTCGGCGGACACATCTTCGTTTGTATGTGGTGCTGAGGATCGAACCCGGGCCACACGCATGCCAGGCGAGCGCGCTACTGCTTGAGCCACATCCCCAGTCCCTATATTTGGTTTTTAATCTATCTATATTTTAAAAGCTAAACATTTAAATACTTAATAACAGTGGGAAAGTCTCCTACTATGTATTAAGCACCTATTGTTATCAGGAGGCCTGCAAATACCTCCATTAGTGTGGACAAATTTACTGTAAAAAGCCCATTATTTAGCTCAGTGGGTCTGCTAGCTGTAATCCCAGCAACTTGGGAGGCTGAGCAGGGAGACTGCAAGTTCAAGGCCAGCCTTGGCAATTTAGAGAAATCCTGTCTCAAAATGAAAAATGAAAAACACCAGGGATATAGTTCAGTAGTAGGGCAATCCCCAGTGTCAGAAAAAGAGAGAGAGAGAGAGAGAGAGAGAGAGAGAGAGAGAGAAAGAAAAAGACATTATCCTTATTTCTAGAGAGAGACTCATATTAAAGATGGCAGAAAACACACAGAGAAAGCACACAGCTAGTGTGCTTACAGTTTGAACTCACACTTGCCATGAAGGCAGAATCCTGCAGGGTGTGGTGGTGGCACAGCAACTTGGGAGGCTGAGGCAGGAGGATCACAAGTTCCAGAGCAACATAGCAACTTAATGAGGCCCTAAGCAATTAAGTGAGACCCTGTGTTAAAAAATAAAAAGTGTTGGGACATGACTCAGTGGTTAAGCATTCCTGGGTTCAATTCCCGGTACCAAAAAATACCCCACAATTCTTTTTTTTTTTTTTTTGCTTTTTTTTCAGTACCAGGAATTGAACTCAGGGACACTTAGCCACTGAGCCACATCCCCAGCCCTATTTTGTATTTTATTTAGAGATAGGGTCTCACTGAGTTGCTTAGCGCCTCCTGATTCTCTGTCTCAGCCTCCGGAGCCACTGGGATTGCAGGCATGCACCATTGCAAGTTAATTCTTATTCCTGCCTTGTCCCACCTTCCTCAGCTCCCAGAGAGCCCCAGGGAAGGCTGGGCTGCTCTGGGAGAACAATAAGGGCTCATCCAGGGGGTGTCTAAAGACCCCAGAAGCTGCATGGAGTCAGGAGGTTGAAGGTGGGGTTGGGGCAGCCTGGAGCACCTAAGAACTCACAGCAGTGCCTGTTCCTGCATAGGAAGGGGACAGCAGCCAAACCCCCAGATGCTGGGCTCCAACCTGGAAGTGACCCCACTCCTGGATCCGATCTTTTTTGACCTCTGAGTCCTCCTTGGTTCTAAGTCTGGGTTCAGCTGATTCCTATCCACAGAGTTGCCTGATGACCTCTGACTGTTTTCTCCTGGCCCTCAACTGGCAGCCTGACTTCTGTTTGGGGTCAAATCCTGTCCTTGCAGGGAAAGGAGGTTGGTAGTGAGGGTTCCACTTGTACCCCAGCCCCTTTTGTTACTAATTTCCCCAGGACGGTCAGATCACTGCTCTTTCCTGTGTCCTTAGATTTGAACCTAGGGCCAGAGTCAAAATGGGACCTGAGTTAGGGGAACTGAGTCCCATTCTAGTGACCCTGACTCTTTGCTCAGAACAGAAGATGTTTTTCTGAGGTCACTTTACCACTTCCAGCTGCCGGACCTGGGCCAGACACAGGTGGGGGTGGCGGGATAGCCAGGCTCCTCTTCTGCATAACAAAGGGTGGGGCTGACCTCCCACTGGGCAACAGTCCAGCCGGTTGACAAGTCTCCCAATCCACATTGGCTTTTTTCTTTTGGCTTCTGGGTAGGGTTGCCAGATTCCGCAAATAAAACATAGGACTGGCAAAATCTGAAGCACAGACAAGCAATGAATGCTTAATATATGTCAAATTGCATTGATATATGTATTCTATCTGGCAGGACTTTCCATGGCTGATTGCCCAATTTTATTTCCTCAGTATAATTCTTCAATCAAATCCACATTCCTGTGTCTTGGGGAAGCCTCAGGAGACTGGGGGATTGCCACCATGCCTTCCCAGACCTGATCATCTGAATTAAGTCCACCTGGCTCCCCTCAAGGCCCCCAGGACAGGACTCTGCTACAAGTGTTTTTGTGGTGTAGAAAGAACTTCAGGTTGGGAATTGAAAGACCTGACTTTATGCAGGGTCTCAATCTTCAACTAAGAGCCGGAGGAGGTTGTCCTCTCTGAGTCTCAATTTTCTTGGCTCATAAATTGGGAGAGAGGAGTTGGGTGTGGTGGTGCATGCCTATAATCTCAGCAATTCCAGAGGCTGAGGCAGGAGGATCACAAATTCCAGGCTAGCTCCAGCCTCAGCAATTTAGCAAGACCAAGTCTCAAAAAAAAAAAAAAGTGTGTGTGTGTGTGTGTGTGTGTGTGTAAGGGTGGACTTTCAGCTCTAAGAAAGAGGGAGAGGTTAGAACCTTTCTTGGACAAACCCCACTGGTACTAAAGTCTCCCAGAACCCCTGGCCAAGTAAGCCCCCCACCCCCAACAGTGGGAAGCACCAGATTTCCCAACTATTGATCACAAACCCTGGATTTCGTTAACCCCCGGCACCCTCTGAAGCATGGACCTCAGTCAGAGGACTGGGCAGGATTGGTCCTCAGAGAGTCCTAGAACAGCATTCTAAGTCCAAATTCCAGCAGTTGGGAAACTGGCCTCCTGTAGGAAATGAAAGCCTCTTCTCCAGGAAAAAAAACTCCCCCCATCTCCAGGGCCAGGGATCATACTCAGAGCCTCATGTATGCCAGGCCAGTGCTCTACGGCTGAGCCACATCCCTAGCCCAAACTTTTTTTTTTTTTTTTTAATTTAACTAAGCCAAGGTAGAGGTCCACTGCCATGAGACAGCAACAATCAGCTATCCTCAGTCCAGACAGCCCTTTGTGCCCTTTCTAGACATCCCCCTCCTCAAGGCTCAAGAGCCTGTCTAGCTGCTGAGCTCCCAGGAGGTCCAAGGGGTGTGACTTACCCCCTCCCTCTCCAGCCCAGGGCCGGCTATAAAGCTAACCAGCTCTGACTCTCAGCACACCCAGCGCCTGGACCCAAGACCCTTCTGCAGCCTCCTTGAAGATACATCCACAGACTCCTTGCTGCTCTCGAGCAGAACCATGCGACCTCTGTGGCTCTGCTGGGCTCTCTGGGTGCTGCCCCTGACCAGGCCTGGGGAGGCCCTGACCGAAGAGCAGGTCCTGGGAAGCCTGCTGAGGCAGCTGAGGCTCAACCAAGTGCCAGTCCTGGACAAGGCTGATGTGAAGGGGTTGACCATCCCTGCTGAGGTCCGGGCCCAGTATGTAGCCCTGTTGCAGCGCAGCCATGGGGACCGATCCCGTGGAAAGAGGTTCAGCCAGAGCTTTCCAGGTGAGCCTTCCTCTTTCTGCATCTTGGTCCTTGTGGGGAAGATACGGATTGGTTTTCACCTCTGTTTTATGGTGCTCTGTTAAGAGGATGTGTGGAGGCTATGGTCCAAGAGGCAGTGAGGAGGGTGTTTGGGCCTGGGCCCTTAGGCTCTGGCTATCCACTGAGGGACCACTTAGACCTGCTGGCAAAACCCAGGTCCCAGAGAAGAGGAGGAGGCAGAGGAAAGCCGAGCCACTAGGCTTGGGTAGCTGTGGCTAGGACCAGGTTTCCCCAGAGAGCTAGGTAGGGTACAGGCAAGATTTCCTGGGGTCTGTTTCCACATTGCCACTCTGGTTTGAGGGTGACCTGGAACAAATTGCCTTAAAAACTTTTCTCAACCATTTGCTCACCTGGAACAGTGGACAACTATGTCTCATCTGTCTGCCTTCCAGCATGGGTGAGTGGCTGTGGGTAGAAGCTGCTTGGTAGCTGGAAATAGTTAAGTGTGACAGCAGAAGTGTCCAGTGTCAGGGTTCCAGCTGTACCTCTAACCTAGTGCATCCTTTTACCCCCAGAGCTAGAATCACCCCCTTATGCCCCAGCTTCACCCACCCCCTTTCTCCTCTCCTGCCATGCCTAGGGAGATGAGGATCCAAAACAGGCAGCTGAGGTGACTGTTGGCAGCAAATGTGGCCTGTCGGTGATCATCCTGCAAACCTGGAGCCTCAGGTGTTAGTGACAGGTTGATGGGTGCCTCTGAGGACAGTGTTATAAATGTCCCAGACATCTTCCTCAAGGCTCAGTAGCCCTGCCAAAGTTCTTTAGAAGCGCTTGGCTCCCTGTTCCTCCCTTTGGGGACATTTAGCTGAGCATGAGTTCCCTCACTACAGGAGGAAATGAGAGTAAATTCAGGACCCTCTCTCTGAATTTAAGAAAAGTGCAGTTCAACTGGTGACCACGGATTTCCATATTCCAGGTTCTCTGTAGCCCCCTCTCCATTTCCCTTCTGTGATACCCTGCTCCCTTTTCCTAAGGAAGTCAGCATTGCTGCACACTTGAGGGCCCAGTCCTCTGCAGACAGTCCCAAAGCTGCCCCTACCCTCTCAAGGTGGAGGTTGCTAGTAAACAAGCCCCAGTTCCATGTGATTGTTTTAGGACACAAAGCCTGACTGCAAATTTTTAAAATTATTTTTTTATTGGGGGATGGGGAAGAATGCTTCTTTCCTGGTCCACCAGTTTCCCAGGCTCCAAACTTTTCCTTTGGATTACCAGGAAATTCTGGTTATTGACCCTGAGCCCTGCAACCCTCTGAGCTCTCCTGGTGCCCCAGAGGCCCAACTAACCCTGCTCTTGTCTCCAGAGGTGGCTGGCAAGTTCCTGGTGTCGGAGGCTTCCACGTACCTGCTGGTGTTTGGCATGGAGCAGCGGCTGCCCGCTAACAGAGAACTGGTGCAGGCTGTGCTGCGGCTCTTCCAGGAACCGGTCCCTCAGGCTGCCCTCCTCAGGCACGAGCGAAATGCCTGGGTTCGGGTCACCATTGAGTGGCTGCGCTTTCGCGACGATGGCTCCAACCGCACCTCTCTCATAGACTCCAGGTGGGAATTCCAGCTGCTCTGCGCTGGGGGAGGGGAAGGGACAGGTAGGAAGGAGGCAGCTTTGTCCAGGAGAGCAGGAAAGGGCGGGGTCACGGATGGAGGCGGAGGAGGGGTAGCTTTCCCCCAGGGCCCTCGAGACCGGTGTCCCAGTCCTCACCCCTCGTGCGGGTCTCTGTCCAGGCTGGTGTCCATCCACGAGAGCGGCTGGAAGGCCTTCGATGTGACCGAGGCTGTGAACTTCTGGCAGCAGCTGAGCCGGCCCCGGCAGCCCCTGCTGCTGCAGGTGTCGGTGCAGAGAGAGCACCTGGGCCCTGGGGCCTCGGGCGCACCCCAGCTGGTCCGCTTCGCCGCGCAGGGGGCACTGGGCGCTGAGCAGAGCGAGCCCCAGCTGGAGTTGCACACGCTGGATCTCAAGGACTATGGGTAGGCGTTGTGGGTCAAACTGATGAGCTCAAGTAGAGAGACAAAAAGGGAATTAAATTGATTTTGAAATGGGCAACTTTTCAGAGTGTGTAAATGAAGGAGAACATTTATAAATTCTCCCTGTGACTCTTAAGTGGAGGCTGTCAGTAAATATCAGTTATTTGTTTTATAGTTATTTTTAGTTATCCAGTGTCTGACACAAACATCCTGCGTTTTTCTTTATTATTATAATGCTAGGGATGGAACCCAGGGCCTTGTGCATGCTAAGCAAACACACTACCACTGAGCTACACCGCCAGTCTAGTATCCAACTTTTTGAACATATTGAGATGCATCATAAACTTTCAGTGCTTTTGACCTCAGCTCTTCCAGCTCATCTCTGACTTATCTCATTTTGTCCCCACAGAGCTCAAGGTAATTGTGACCCTGAGGCACCAGTGACCCAGGGCACCCGCTGCTGCCGCCAGCAGATGTATTTGGACCTTCAGGGAATGAAGTGGGCTGAGAACTGGGTCCTGGAGCCCCCAGGCTTCCTGGTCTATGAATGTGTGGGCAGCTGCCTGCAGCCCCCAGAGTCCCTGACCTTCAAGTGGCCATATCTGGGGCCAAGACAGTGCATCGCCTCAGAGACAACCTCACTGCCCATGATTGTGAACATCAAGGAAGGAGGCAGGACCAGGCCCCAGGTGGTCAGCCTGCCCAACATGAGGGTGCAGAAGTGCAGCTGTGCCTCAGATGGGGCTCCTGTGCCAAGGGGGCTCCAGCCATAGGCCCTGGTGTAGCCATAAAAGGACTTGGCTTCAGTGTGTGTCTGAAGTGTTCTAGGGCCCCAGAGAGACTGAACCCTGAAGAACAAATGCTCTGTGCTCTCAACTGAGCTCTGGCTTTGCTTCCTCTGATAATTCAGCTTACTTTCTAAAATTTGCTTCCCAGGAATCGGACTCCCTGGCTGCTGGGTAGCCCTTGCACTGTATTCTAAGCACTTACATGTGTAGATACTGTAACATATGGGCAGAAACCCACAAATTTTCATTGTTTCCTTGACCTGTCACTGGGTCTGGGCTGAGCTCCAGTCTCTACTCTTAACCTAAGACCTGAATTTAAGGTTTAATTTATGCATCACCAACCCAGATAATCAGGGCTTTGCAAGACCCAAATAAAACACATTTATTCTGTAATTTTATATTTCTCTGTTTTAACCAAAGTTCTGCAAATTGATGAGAGAACAGAAAATTCTACAGAGGTCAACTTGATTGGAAAACTAAGGAAAGAGCCGGCTAATGTTTGGTTAAGGTCTTAAGTAATTTCGAAATTTAAAAATTAAATGCATTCAGATTCTAGTATCTGTGGTGCCTTTTTTTCAGAATTGGGACAGAGATCTTTTTGTTGTTGACATTTAGACTTTTTTGGGCAGTGATTGGGACTTTATTTCAATTCTAGTTGCATGAAAATAAAAAAAGCTGTTATCTAAATCATCACTGATACTACAAGAATGTGGGTCACTCCTTCAGATCTTAGGAAAACAAAGAGAGCAAATGTTCACAATGTTGGATATAATATTTTCGAATGCCAAGATTACAGGGCCTTTTAAGCTGTAACCTTGACATTCTAGGTTCTTTACCAGTCTCCACATCTTCTGTTAGCTGTAAATTCAATAGCCTTTAAATTTTCATTCCTTCTCTATCAAGTAGGAACAATTCCCAACTTCCATACTCCTGATTTAAGGAAATACTTGTTTTATAACCACTTCACACATTGGCATAAGGAGGGTTATGGTTATCTCAACTCACATTCGGATTCACAACAGACTTCTCTTAATTTTGAAATAAATTTAATTGAGGATCCTCCTTCCCTCCCTATCCCCCAGGGTTGAGGACTGAACTCAGGGCCTTGCAGGTGCTAGGCAAGCGCTCTGCCACTGAGCTAAATCCCCAACCCCTAAAATGAGGATCTTAAATTTTCTTTTCATCAGTGGCTTCGCCATTCTAATATAACTGGGGCTAGAACCTGTATTTCCCTGGTCCCAGGGCACAGACCAGGCAGGTGGGGTTATCATCATCTTAGGCAGAGATGAAGACACACAGCAGGGGGGTGAGAGGGGAGGAAGGAGTTTGGAGAGGAGCAGTCTGAGGAGCTAGAGGGATGTCCAGGGGACCATCAGCAGGAACCTGGCAAGATCAGGTGCAGGGTTCTTGGCAACAGCAGATACCAGAGCAGGAGGGGTCATAAAAGGCAGAGGTAAGGGGGCGGGGGGGGGGGACGACCACGAGGAGACGACAAGGGCAGAGTTCCGTGGCAGAGGAAAACTCTGGGAAATAACTAGTGGCTAAGAGTTTCAGGGGAGAGATGGAAGCCAGATGGGTCCTAGAACTGAGAGAGGAAAGACAAGACACCCCCACCCTGCCCAGGCAGCCATGGGATGGTGCTAGAATCAGGGACAGGGAGGTTAGGAGGATATTTTTATCATTACAGTACAAGATGAAAGCCCAGAAATGGAAGAGAGGTCAGAGAACCTGCAAAGCCTTGTACATCGGGGAGTGCAAAACAGTTCAGGATGCAGAGATCGTGCTGCAAAGGCCCCCGAGAGCAGGCTTTAGTTCAACAGCCTTGCTTCGCAGATGCGGAAACTCAGGCCCGAGAAGGGGGACAGTTGGCTGCGGCCGGCGAGCCGTCCTAGCCACACCACCTTGCCCAACTCGCGCGGGTCCTGCCCTCGGAGAGCTCGCAGACCAGTTGCGGAGGTCACTGACTCCGGAAACACCTGGTTTCCCCGCCAGGAGACGCCTAGAGCTCAGCGAGCTGCGGAGGGGTTGGCGCCCCAGAGAGCCCTGGCAGGGGCTGTACCGGGCTTAGCCTCGGGAAGGGCTGAAAATGCTGCGACCTCCACTTGGGTTCGAACGGAGACCCATCTGAACTCTCATGGCCTATTGTACAGGGGCTCTGTGTAGCCGCAGGCTGCCTGGAGTTGGGGGCCAGGCTCAGGCTGAGCTCCGCGAACTCCCACCCCACCCCACCCCACCCCCACTTCCCTGGGCGGGGCTAAGAGCTCGAGGGGGGAACCCCAAGCAACACCCGGCTGCACACGAACGTCTGCAGATGCTCTCCGCGCGCCGCGACCACCCTGTGTTCTGCCCAGTTCCCCACAAAGTGTCCGGGCAGAGGCGACGTCCAGCGCGACTGAAGAAAGTCCGGTGGAGCCCTCCTTGGCCCCTAGGACCTGCAAGCAGGCCAGGGCTGGGAGGACCGAACAGCGACAGGTGGCCCAGGCTGCTGCGGAGGACAGAGGAGGGGCGCAGAGCCTAGGGCGCAGTTGGTGGCATTGTGGCCCGCGCCGGCGCAGGCGAAAACTCCAAATCGGGCAACCCGTGGACGCAGTTCTGCGCATGTGCAGGAAGCGCCAGAGTTTCACTTTGTAACTTTTAAGTGGTCGGGAAGTCGCCCCGCCTGGCCAGGTGGAGCCAGACCACTCCCCCAGGCCGCGTCAGCCGCGCCGCCGTCGCAGGTAAAGTGGGAAGGGGGCTTTGAGGAGGGCGAAGGGGGCCCTCCGTGGTTTGGGGACTGCGCGACCGAGGGTCTACACTGAGGTGCCACGCCAACTGTCCACTTCCCGGGCGCGGTTCCCAGTTTCTGCGGCTCCCATCCCCTAGCAGGGGGGCCGATAGCGGGGTGGGTCGGAGGAGAGGATCGGTCTGGGGGACCTTACGACTCATTCCAGCCTCGAATTCCTCCGGACTTCCTGACAGCTTTACCAGACCTCTCCCTCTCCCGGCTCCAGCTGTTCACCCAGTGGCGGATCCTTTCCTCCTTTCCACCTTTCTCTTTGCAATTTGTTGGCAGCGGGAGCTCTCTCGGATTAATTCTCTCAGATTAACGAGGAGGCTTTTCTTCATTTCTTTGAGGCAAGCCTGGGAAAGGGCCAGGTGTCCAAGGAAATCAGCCCCCGGTGATCACTCCCTGCTGCCCTGGTGGCATCCTGATGAGAGAGGCTGGTGGTGGTGGTGGTGGGGGGGGTGCAAGGAGGGTGGCCAGAGCAAAGAAACCAAATCCTCCAAGGTTCTAGTACCTGATAAGACTGGCTACCTGAGACCCTGGGGTGGCCTCTGTCTTTCAGCCCCAGGTTGTGTCCTCAAAGGCAGGGGCCAAGAGCTTGATGGAGCCAATGGCCTCTCAGCTTCCTTCTAGCCCTGAAGCTTTTTCTCTGTCCCCACTCCTACTCTATTGAGGGTTTGGGATTAAGCCATTGGATGGTGGTCACCAATACAAGCCCTGTGGGATCAAAGGTGATGTAGAAGGCATCCTGGGCTTTTCTGTTGCTGGCTCTGGCAGAGTTGGAGACCACCACTGACTGGGGATAATGGAAGACAGGTCATCCCTTAGTTGGGAAACACTCTTGCCTCCATTGTCTTCCTCCCTACTTCCTTCCTCTGCCACCTGCCAGGTGTCCTCAAATCTTCTGTGCCCTCAAAACAGAAGCTGAGGCCTCCTTTGCTCAGTGTTGGGACAAAAGTCTCTCCTAGCTGTTCATCTGGCTCTAACAGGGAAGACAGGTGGGGACCCCTGCTACTATGTTTTGCATTCGTTTTGAAAGTGACTTAAAATGAAACAAACAGCTTTTGAGTAGTCATTAGGGCCAGGCTCTGGGCTATGTGTTTTTTAGCATTGGCCCATGTGTGGGCCTCCCAGCAGCCCTATGAGAGAAATAGAGTCACTGCCCCTATTTTAACCAAGGCACAGAGTGGCTAAACATCTAATCTCCATGGTGGTAGGACCCCAGCTCTGGAGACTTCTCATATTTCAGAGGCTGAAATCCTCTTTGTGCTCCAGGGCTGATGTCTGTAGAGGTAAAATAGTTGTCCAGGTCCCTGGGCCCTGTTTGGTGGGGCCATAAGAAGTTTGTGTTTGGCCAGGTGTGGTGGTGCTTGCCTGTAATCCCAGCAGCTAGGGAGGCTAAGACAGGAGGATGGCCTGTTCAAAGCCAGCCTCAGCAAAAGAGAGGCCCTAAGCAACCCAGTGAGACCCTGTGTCTAAATAAAAATAGGGGTGGGGAGGTGGCTCAATGGTCAAGTGCCCCTGAGTTCAATACCCCGTACCAAAAAAAAAAAAAGTTTGTGTTTGTATGACTTTGTCTGCACCTGGAAGATCCAAGTTAACTGATGAAAAACTGAAGAGCTAAAGTCATTTGAAGTCTTGCTATCATAACAAAATTGAAAGATGTAGTGATGATGTAAGGGCTCTGAATTTGCACATTGCCTCTTTGCTTGCAAGAACCAACAATGTTCACATACTTTCTGGGGCCTTCTGCTGGGTGAGGAGAGAGGAATAGGGCAGTACACTGGAGTGCTGGCACATGGGGCCCCAATTCTGGGAGGCCTAGTATGCTTCAAAGTCCTGCTACAGGAGGCTGGTCCTTGCTGCAAACTCAGGTGGGCAGTGGGTTAGTATTGTGGTTAACTTTGGTAATTTTGAGACCACCTGTTGGACAAAGCCATGTTCACTGACCACAACCAGACTTTTTGGGTGTTTGTGGGCTTAACTTTGTCACCTTTAGCTCACCTGGCTTTTGGGTCTTATAAGTAATTTTGCCTTCTGTAATCTTAGGTATTGGATAAGAATGAGAGGATGAAAGTCATGGATAAATGCCAGGCATTTGCCTATATGTGCATAACAAATACGAGATGACCAAATACTGCCAGTAGTATGCAGCCAGTCCTAGTTGCTGGGTTTTTGTTTGATTGTTTGTTGTGTGTGTGTGTGTGTGTGTGTGTGTGTTTCTGGCACTGGGGATTAAACCCTGTACCAAGCTACATCCCCAGTCCTTTTTTATTTTTGACAGGTTCTCACTAAGTTGCCAAGGCTGGCCTCAAATTTGTGATCCTCCTGAGTAGTGAACTGATTTTATTTTATTTTTTATGGTGCTGGCGATAGAACCCAGGACCCCAATTTGCTGCGTTGGCTCCCTCCCCATAACTGCCAGCTGTCCTCCCACACCCTTCACAACCTTCTCTTCAGCTGGCAGGAATACCTCGTGATGGGTGTGTTCCCAAGCTGTCTTCTCCAAGCATGCCTATTTAGGAAGACACAGAGGGGCCTAGCCCACTGAAAGTCAGAGATGGGAGATGTTTCATCAGGGTCTGACTCATGGATCTAATGGGCAGGGACAGTCTGTGATTGGACTGGAAGCTATGCCCTCACCTTGCTCCTCACCTGGAGCTGGCAGGACAGGACACCTGGATGAGAGAATCCTGACATCTGGCCTGACCTGCAGATTATCAGGCTGGCTTACTTGCAGGCTGTTCTTCCTCAGGGTTTTTTTTTTTTTTTTTTTTTTTGTATCAGGAATTGATTGAACCCAGGGGTGCTTAACCACTGAACTACATCCTCAGCGCTTTTTATTTTGAGGCAGGGTCTTAGGTTGCTTAGGGCCTCACTAAATTATGGAGGCTGGCTTTGAACTTGGGATCCTCCCTTTTTGCCTCAGCCTCCTGAGCAGCTGGGATTACAGACATACGCCACCATGCCTGGCAGTTCTTCAAACTTTGTAATCACTTGAGGTCCTTGTATGGCAAGAGCAAAATGACTTGAAGATGTGACTGGGGCTGTAGGGGAAGAGGAGTCACAGGGACCCTCCTTCCTCTGTTTCTCCAAAGCAGCACTGGCAAGAGTCCCCCACTCCCATCCAGCACCACCATAGCAGCCTCCCCTTTCCAGAGTCAATGTTTCCTCTGTGAGCATTTTATGAGGAATTTTTCCCTTTCTACTTCACTTTCCAAACCTTCCTTTTTTATTCTCCTGTGTTCCCTTTTCCTGATTTTAGCACTCTGGGGAACTTGGGGTACAGTACAGTCCTCAAGTTCCCTCATAAGACCCTCATCTTGGGGTCCTACCTTAAGCTGACAGCCACAGTGCTTCTGTGGGGAGAGGACCATTCCGCTGGCCTGGTCACTGCCTCAAGACATTGGACAAGAGGGGAGATGTTGAAGCCACAGGTACTTCTGGGTGAGGAGAGAGGAATAGGGCAGTACACCGGAGTACTGGCACATGGAGCCCCAATTCTCGGAGTTTGGGGGAGATCCAGAGCAGGAGGGCAGAACCAGAAGCTCCAAATGGGTTCAGAGACATCTGGGCAGATATGTGAGCAGTGGAAAAATGGTGAAAGGTTTCTGTCCAGAATCCCTAAACTGGGCCGGGTGTGGTGGCTCACGCCTGTAATCCCAGCAGCTCTGGAGGAGGAGACAGGAGGATGGTGAGTTCAAAGCCAGCCTCAGCAATGGCAAGGCACTAAGCAACTCAGTGAGACCCTGTCTCTAAATTAAAAAATACAAAATAGGGCATGTGGCTCAGTGGTTGAGTGCCCCTGAGTTCAATCCCTAGTACCAAAAACAGTAATAACAACAACAACAACAACAACAGAAACCCAAAAAACAGAATCCCTAAACTGGAAGAGGGCAGCTCCCCTGTAATGCCGTGATCCGCATTGCTGCAGGAGAGTCTGTAAAGGCCTATGCCCAGGTCTGTGGAGTCTGGAGTCTCAGGTCTCACAGGGTGGGCCTCGGGACGAGTCTTGTGGTCAGGAAAGCCTGGCAGGAAGGGTGTGGCAGGCCCAGGCCTGGCCCACCTGCAGTTTGGGCTGTGTGTATGGGGATGGGGGCTGCCTTTGCCCTGTCTGGAGACAATTTCAGCTGAGAACTCTCTAACAATCCCCCTACCTTGGTGTGTGGTAAGTGTGGAGATAGGAAAGAAGGGTGGGCATTGGCCTCCAGTGTCCACTGGGGTGTTCTGTTGGGGTAGTGCCCATGGGTGCGGTTCAAAGGAGAGAAGTCAAAAATATTTGCTCCTGGACATAGCTTTTGTAAGTCTGTTCAGAGCCACAAATTCATGGGTGTGACATGAAAACATCTAATACCTCCAGCCATTGCCAAGTCTCTTACCAGGGTGAGAAAATGACGTGACTTTCCAGGCATTCCCCCCCTTGTCTGGGGCCTGCCATCCACCCATCTTTCCTGCACTTCTGGGGCTGGGGGGGAATGAGTGTGTGTGTGTGCATGTGTGTGTATGTATTGGGGGGGGGGAGAGAGAGAGAGAGAGAGAGAGAGAGAGAGAGAGAGATATTATCCCTACCACGACAATCCCAGGATTTTGAATTGAGAATCATCCCCCTCCACACACCCTGCCATGAACACCACATCAGTACTCCCAGGTAGTTTGAACATGTGGTTTGGGTTCTCCATGCCATTTTTTTTTTTTTTTTTTGGTACTGGATTTTTCTCCAAGATTTTTTTTTCTCCCTAACAGGTAAAAAGGCCCAACTAAGCAGATGATGTCCTGCAAGAATTCTAATTTAGCCAGATGTAGGGGTGGGAGAAACTCAAGGAAGGGAGGGCTGAGCATCTCTTGTTCTTTAGCCACAGGCAGTATGAGCAGGCCAGAACTTGGGTACTAAATCCCTGGTCTTCGGTGCCAGGGGACAGATATTGAAGCTTTCCATTAGCTTCACCAGGAATGCCAGAAACCCAGCCTGGAGTGGTATTTGTTTTGGAAAGGTGAGGCTTCTGTGAAATCAAAGGTACCTAGGAGACATGGCTGAGAGGACAGAGCTGAGGGGTCTTTGGAAGTCCTGAGACACTCCCCCCCACACACCCACTAGACCACCCCCTTTGCCTTCCCCCTCTGGCTGCCCTTCCTGCCTTCCGTCTCTCAGTGGATTAACCTGTGGTAGTGTGGCCTAGACAAAAAGAGCTCAGGAAGCTGAGGCCCAAGGATCATGAGTTCAAAGAGAGGCCCTAAGTAACTCAGTGAGACTCTGTCTCTAAGATTTAAAAAAAAAGGGGGCTGGGGATGTGGCTCAGTGATTAAGTGCCTCTGTTTTCAATCCCTGGAACAATCAATGAATCAATCAATTAAAAAAAAAAAAAGAGCTGGGGAGTCAGGAGACTCAATCCTGCATCAGCCAGCTTCCTAGTCTCAGGGCAGGCCTTCAAATCATCTGTACCTCTCTTTCCAAGTGTGTCACCTGGGCCTGTCTCTGAGGTACCAGCTCTGACATTCTGAGAATAGTGGGAATGAAGTCTCATCTGTGGCTCAGATGGGTAGACTGGGGTGTGTCCTTGGCTCCTCCCTTCTTCCCCGTTTGCCTGTCTTTGTACTTTCTTCTTCTCTGCCTTTGTGTCCCTTTCTCCTCTCCCTTGCCTGGATCTCCCGGTGACTCCATAGGAATTATTTTCCCAGCAGTTGTACTTGAAGCTAGTACCTCTTTAGCTACCAGCCACAATAAATTCTGTCCCTCCTTTCTCCCCAGCCCCCCTCCTCTGGCGCATCACCCGCCAAGTTCCTGGATGAGCTGTCCACTGGGACCATCTGACCCTCCAGGGCTGTTTCCACAATGGGACTATTCTCTGCAGACTCTGCCAGGCACCAGAGGGCCCAGTGTCCAGCTATCCCTGATTCCTGTTGGCTCTCTGTACCCCACCAGCCCCTGGGGAGCACCCATCTCTGGCTCTGCTAGCATTGCCTGGGAAAACTGTGGGAGAGTCTGCATCCTCACCGCCTGTCTTGTCCTGTTCCCCAGGGACAGCAAGTGCGATGACCACCTCCCCATTCCTGGAGCTGTGGCAGTCCAAGACTGTGTCCATCCGAGAGCAACTGGGCCTTGGGGACCAGCCCAATGACTCCTACTGCTACAACTCAGCCAAAAACAGCACTGTGCTCCAGGGAGTCACTTTTGGAGGCATCCCTACTGTCCTGCTCATAGACGTCAGCTGCTTCCTGGTGAGATCCCTCATGAACATGTCCCCTCTCAGTTCCGTGTTTAACTAATCCCCCCAGAGCCTTCAGAGAGACTCAGATGAAGTTTCAGATCCTGGTTTGAATCCCAGTTTTCTACTTACCATTACCAGCTCTGTGACCTTTAGCGTGTGATATAGTTTGTCTGGGCCTCAGGTTTCTGATCTGGAATAATTCCTCCCTCAGAGAATTTTGGAGAAGATTGGACAAGGGCATGCACATATAGAGCACACAGAGCTGCTGTTTTCTTCTGACCCTGATTGTAGAGCTACAAGCCTAATTTGTCTTCATAGCCCTTGGGAAGGGCAAGTCTCAGAGGGATGAGAGATGGGAAGAGAAGGTGTGAACTAGAGTAGAGTAGGTGCAATTCCAAGTTCATTAGGGTCACCTGCTCTCCCCTTCTGGGATTCTTCTTCTTCTTCATCTTTTTTTTTTTTTTTTAAATTTTTGATACCAGGGATTAAACTCAGGGGCACTCAACCACTGAGCCACATGCATCCTTAGCCCTATTATTTTTGGTACCAGGGATTGAAATCAGAGGTACTAAACCACTGAGCCACATCCCCAGCCCTATTTTGTATTTTATTTAGAGACAGGGTCTCACTGAGTTGCCTCACTCATCGTTGCTGAGGCTGGCTTTGAACTTGCAATCCTCCTGTCTCAGCCTCCAGAGCCGCTGGGATTATAGGTGTGTGCCACTGCACCTCATCCTTTGTGGGATTCTTATGGCTTTAGAGGACCATAAAGGGATTATCAGAATCAACCCTCAACATGAGGCCTTTTTCTTTTTTGCAGTGCTGGGGATGGAACCCAGGGTCTTCCACATGTTAAGCAAGTACTCTACCACTGAGCCAGGCCCCCAGGCCAGCTAGGTTTATTTGGTTTATCATGCACCTTCTTTTTACAAATGCACACGGGATACTGGGCCCCTCTTGATGCCATCTCCTAATATCTAACAGAGCCCATCTAGGTGGATGGGGACAGATTGACTAGATACCCTTGGACAACCTAGGCCTGGAGGCTAGGTTGAGTGAGAAAGCTGAGAGGAGAGTTAGGGTATTCAGAGGGCCCCAGTCCCTGGTGGAAGGGGCCCTGAATGGTAGGAGGTGAGGGTCCCAAACCCAAGTTTGCTGGTACAAAATATGTTCACTGGAAGGAGAGAGAGACTTTCTCTCTTCCTTTTTTTTTTTTCTTGTTGTTGTTGATCCTAGGATCAAGGTCTACATTGTTGCACAAGAGGTTTGCTACATTACTTGGTCCTCTTGGCTTTCATGAAAAAGGGCTCTCTAAGTAACAAGTAACCATTTCTTTCTATTTATTTGGTACTGGGGATTGAACCCAGAGCCACTATACCACTGAGTCACATCCCAAGCCCTTTATTTTTTATTTTGAGACAGGATCTTGCTAAGTTACTTAGGGCCTCACCAAGTTGCTGAGGCTGACCTGGAACTTGTGATCTTCCTCCCTCAACCTCCTGAGTCACTGGGATTATAGGCATGCACCACCGTGTCAGGCCCAAGTAACCATTTTTTTTTTTTTTTTTTGAGAGAGAGAGAAGAGAGAAGAGAGAAGAGAGAAGAGAGAAGAGAGAAGAGAGAGAGAGAGAGAGAGAGAGAGAGAGAGAGAGAGAGAGAAACTTTTTTAATATTTATTTTTTAGTTTTCCGGCAGACACAACATCTTTGTTTGTTTGTGGTGCTGAGGATCGAACCCGGGCCACACGCATGCCAGGAGAGCATGCTACTGCTTGAGCCACATCCCCAGCCCCCAAGTAACCATTTCTTAGAGCTAGGACCCATTTGTAGGTGGAAAGCACTGTCATGCCTACTAGCCTTAGTTGAGAGGGAGGAATAGACAGTTGATGGAGAGCCTGTGGGATTAATGGAAGCAGGTGGCCCTGGATCTTCAGGGTGGGAAGTTTGCCTGAGGTGAGGATTCTGGAGTCTGGGCAGGGGCTCCAATCAGTCTGGTAGCTTATTGGGAAGAAAGATATTCTATTGGAGCATATTGGGCGGGGTAGTGGTGATGGTGGTGGTGGTGATGGTATAGATTTTGTTATTGTTTTAAGACAGTGTCTCATTATGTTGCCCAAGTGATCTTGAACTCCTGAGTAATTGGCCTATAGGCGTATACCACTGTGCCTGGCCTTATGGGGGTGAATTTGTTTGTTTGGTGCTGGGAATTGATCAGGGCTTCACATATGCTAAGCACATGCTCTACCAATGAGCCTTACCTCCAGCCCACTCTGGGGGTGGGTTTTTATTGCAGGAAGTTATACAGTGAGTGGGGACATATAAGATTCAGAGGGCCCTGGAAAACATGGATATGTGGGAGATGTCTGTACCATACATACCAAGGTAGAAACAGCTGCAGATAGAGGGCAAGTGCTTGCTGAGTGACTTTCATGTTACAGCATGACTCACTCATCTTTGGAAGTATGTCCCTAACTTCCTGATTCACCTTGAGAAAACACCACAGGAACTCAGGGTTTCTGGGGTTCATTCAGGTCCTTTGGAAAACCTGCCTTTAAAATCTGATCTGGGCTGGGGGTGTGTAGCTCAAAGTAGAATGCTTCCCTAGCAAGTTCAAGGCCTTGGGGTCTGTCCCTGGCACCATCTACACATAAAATAACAATAAAAGAAACAAAACCCCAATGTCTGATTAGCAATAGTGTGCTAATTGAGGTGTATCTCTCCACCTCCATGAATCTTGAAGGGAGGGAGCCTGCCTAGGGAAAGTCAGGGACCCATCAAAGAACCTGCCAGTTTCTCTGTACATGTAGGGTGTAAGGAGGTCTAGAATTCTTAGCTATCTAGAGCCAGCAAAAGTCAAGAGAGTCCTCAGCGGTCCTCAGTCCTCTCCTTATGCTGCTGTGGGACACATAGGCCTGCTGATTGTCCCAGTTCACCGAGGCTGAGCGCACCCAGAGCTCCAGGGCCTTGTTGGGTTTCTGTCTGTGCATTTTCTGTGCCAGTTTCCACATAGATTGCTTTCAGGAGAACCTAACTCAAAGTAGAAACCTGACCATCTCTGGCTCAGCCTGGGTGGCTTTGTTGCTATGGTTCTGTAATTTTTTTTTTTTTGTACTGGGGATTGAACCCCCCACCCCAGGAGTGCTTTACCACTGAGCTACATCCCTAATATTTTATTTTTTATTTTGAGACAAGGTCTCACTAAGTTGCTTAGAGCCTCACTAAATTGCTCAGGCTGGCCTTGAACCTGCAATCCTCCTACCTCAGCCTCCTGAATTTCTGGGACTGTAGGTATATGCCACTGTGCCCAGCTTGTGGTTCTATAATTTAAAATGAAGCTCTAAATCTGGGCAAGGTGACATATGTGCCCCAGCTACTCAGGAGGCTGAGGCAGGATAATTGTTTCAGCCAAGGAATAATCAAGGTCAACCTGGGTAATATAGGGAGAGCCTATCTCAAAAAATAAATTAAAAAACAAACAAACAAACAAAGAAGTTCTATGTAAAGCGAGGAAGGAAGCGGGTTCCCAGAGCTGCTGCAAGGCCAGACCTTGTTGTTGAAGCCACTGAAGCAGATCCTGGCTGAGATCAGAGCCTTGTGGCATTAATACTACCTTGAAGGCAAAGGTTAGGACTGGTGTTCTTGACTGGAAGGGCTCCAGGCTGTGTTTGGCATCAGTGCTGACAGCCTGGGTGACCTGGGCACAGGTGATGGGAGCTAGTGAAGAAGGCAAACAGAGCATTGGGACACTGAGCTGTGTGACATTGAGTAGCTTCGTGCCATCTCTGGGCCGAGATGATTTTCTTCTTACCTTGCTGAGTCTGAGAGGGTGGGCTTTGCTCCTGAATCCACCCAATATACTTTTACATGGTGTCTTTTCTACTTTAGTGTTTAATATTGGTGTTTTCCATCATAAGAAGAAGATTCTGGGATTATGGCCGCATTGCCCTGGTGTCAGAAACAGACAGGTAAAAAAGATTCATCACCTAGAATATGACCTTGTGTATACATGTATGTGTGTGTGTGTGTGTGTGTGTGTGTGTGTGAGAGAGAGAGAGAGAGAGAGAGAGAGAGAGAGAGAGAGAGAGACTGGAATGGGCAGGAGCAGGGCCCACCAGTGTTGTTGGTATTAGATTGTGTTCATTGGGCTTATCTGCCAGGCCTGTACAATAGCTGTGTTCTCTCTGCTCATCACCACAGACCCATGAGATCAGCCTTTTGTTACACAATAACTGTGTTCAAGAGAAAATCAAGGCCCAGACACCCACTTTATTTTGGGGCTTCTTGCTGGGCCATGGCCATGAGCCCCGTTGGCTTCTGCCTATGGAAGAAACCCCAATACTTTTTTTTTTTTTTAAAGACATTTATTCAGGGGCTGGGGATGTGGCTCAAGCGGTAGCGCACTTGCCTGGCATGCGTGCGGCCCGGGTTCGATCCTCAGCACCACATACAAACAAAGATGTTGTGTCTGTCGAAAACTAAAAAATAAATATTAAAATTCTCTCTCTCTCTCTCTCTCTCTCTCTCTCTCTTTAAAAAAAAAAAAGACATTTATTCAGCATCATGATCAGACTATTACATTTAGCAATCAACAGCATGGGGGCCAAAAAATTTTTTTAAAAATCTACATGAAAACCCCGTGTTGGCATGCTCGACACTTTCCATAGAACAGAAACTAAAATAACCTCTGTACAGTCAGTCACAACATAGACCTCAAGGCTCTTTGCCCATACACATGAATATTGTCTGAACCATGTCTTCTTTGTAGCAGTGAGGACCTGCCACCACGGTGCTTGGCTGAGTTCACAATCCATCCCTGTCACTTCTTCGGCTCTCCTCTCCTGCTACGTTTTGTTTCCTGGCAGCATTAAAACCTTCTGCCACTGCCATAGCTACCTCTGCTGCTGGAACCGCCATGACCACCTGGGAAACCCTGATACTTTTAAGGCTTTTGCTGTCCGTGGAGCAAGATGCCTGCTTTCTTTTGTCTTTGAATATTTTTAATGTGTCATCTTCATTATTAGCTTAGGCCCGGGCTGACTGAGGTGGATCAAAAAGGGCAACAGGGCTGCCAGGGATCTCTGGTCCTCTTTCTGGGTCAGCACTGACTTTGGAGGAGCTCATTAGAAAGCACAGGCTCAGGCTGGGGTCGTGGCTCAGAGAAAGAGCACTTGCCTAGCATGTGTCAGGCACTAGGTTCGATTCTCAGCACTGCATGTAAATAAATAAAAATAAAGGTCCATTGACAACTAAAAAATATTTAAACAAACCAACAAACACAGCTCCCCCCACTCAGACCTCAGGCCCCTCCAGTTCCAGCCGGGGCTCTGATGGCTCTGTTCATTTAACATGAGGGGAGGTGATGAGTTCTCAACGGTTTACCTGGGTTTCCCAGCTCCAGCTGGGCTTTGCACATCCCTGAATCTTGGGTAAGATGTGGCAACAAGAAGGGAGAACTCAGGGACCCACCAGCCACCTGCCCAGAGCCTCTCTTCTGGGCAGCCCCTCCACTTCGCAGCCCCTCTTGACATGTGGTCTTTTGTGTGTGTGTGTGGAGGTGCTCTGGGCTAGGAAGAGGAGTCTCTGTAAATGCATCTTCCTGACAAGAAGATTGTCTCTCCTCTGGCATTTGTGAAAGCAAGGTGAAGAATTTTGGGGGACATCTGATACCTTCCCGGCACATTAAGCCCTGAGTGTGGCTGTGCTGTACAGTAGAGGAGAGTGCGAGGGATCAGGAGGCGCTGCTACTTCCAGAGCTGTGTGAGCCTGGTCCAGGCTAATCAGGGTCTCCTCCTGCCTTCTCTTCCCCATGGTGTGAAGGTCAAATGAGACTATCTGTGTAAATGGTTTGAAAGTTAAGTTTCATGGTGTTTTAGGCTCTTAAAAGTGGGACAGTGGTCCAGGAGTGGGAGAAAAGCAAAAATTCACCTACTGATGACACCTCCAATTCACTATGAATGTGGAGTACTCAAAACAAGGGATCTGACTAAAATGCACAATATAAAATAACAGTTCACCTACCTAAAACACACATTTTGACATTTTCTCAGGTCTGAAATTGAGATGTGTCTTATCAATGATGGTCACAGTTTGATTGGCAACATTGTTTCTTTTTTAGTGGTTCATGAAATAATTATGCAACTGACAACAAGTGATACTTTAGATTTCATAAAATATAGTATTTACTTATTTATTCATTTATTTTTGGGACTAAACCTACTGACTCTCAATGGCTGTGAAAAAATAAAGACAGGGCAATACCCATTTCACTCTGAAAAATGAAGACAAAGGCAGTACCCATTCCTAGGTATGGAATGAAACTTGTGTTATATGAAATTAATAGCATGGCTCCGGGGCATAGCTAGGCTTTTTTTGAGGGTGTAGGGCTTGGGGTCCTGGGGATTGAACTCAGGGATGCTTTGCCACAGAGCCACATCCCCAGTTCTTTTTATTTTTTATTTCAGTTGCTTAGGGCCTCACTAAGTTGCTGAGGCTGGCCTTGAACTTGCAATCCTCCTGCTTCAGCCTCCCAAGTTGTTGGCCTTACAGGTGTGCACTGCACCCAGCTCCCTAGCCCTTTTTTTATTTTGAAGCAGGGCCTAGCTGAGTTGACTAAGCTAGCCTCCAACTTGTGGTCCTTCTGCCTCAGCCTCTGGAGTCCCTGGGATTATAGGTATATGCCCCTGTGCCTGGCTCTGCAGTTCTTATTTTTCCTCCTCTTCCTCTTCCTTTTCCTCCTGCTCTTTCTCTTTTCCTCCTCCTTCTCCTTCACTTTCTTGCTCTCCCCCTCTCCTTCCCCCTTCTTCTCTTTCCCATCCCCCTTTCCTCTGCTTCCTCTTTCCCTCCCCCTCACTCCAGTTACAGGGCCCTGAAAGGTCCTGCATTCCTCCTTTCTGGTATTACTTCCGTGGGTAGAGTATGTAGTCTGATGCCTTCTGTGGAGTGTCTGTTTCTCAGGTCCCCTCTCCAGAGTTGAACTCCGATTCTCTGTCATTCTAGGTCACCAGGGTAGGACCAAAGACAGTATTTATTCCCAATTTTATTTGATATTTTAGGAGGTCTCTTATAAACAGGTGGCACTTTAAAGTCCCTTTAGGTGGATGAGTCCTGTCCTGAGCTTGGAGGTTGTGAGCATACAGGGATGGTCTATTGATGCCCTGACCCCATGTTATTAATTTCACATAACAAAGTTTTATGCTGTATCTGGGAATGGGTATTATCCTTGACTGCGTTTTTCAGAGTGAAATGGGTATTATCTTTTCTTTATTTTTCACAACCATTGAGGGATAGTAGTTTTGGCTTATGGCTTGGCATTACAGTTAATTATTGATTTATCTGCTAGATTGTGAGGGATAGATCTTTAAGATTGGGCAGCAAAATCCTGAATATAATTTTTTTTGACTTTTTATTTTTTAGAATCATATCATATATTTTTCTTTTCCTTTTGTGTCTCTAGTGAGTCCAGATTCCAGAGATTGTCATCGACTTCCTCTTCAGGGCAACACGACTTTGAAAATGAGCTGGTTGGTATCCAAAGGACAGTAGGAGTGTGGCTAGGGGTGGGGACCTGCAGTAATGCTTAGTGGGGTGGGGGCAGTTGTAATCTTGGTTCAGTGGCTAACTTCCTATTATGGTTCCTGAGTGGCTGGTGCTGGAGAAAGTTCTTCTCTACATCAACCAAAGCACCTGAATTTGGAAGTACCACAGGGAAGATGGCAGCTGGATGGAGACCTGGCATCGGGAGACTTGATCAATTCTCAGGCAGAAAGGGCAATGGAATCCTCTGGGGTGTCCCAGCACACACCTCTCTCTCTCTCTCTCTCTCTCTCTCTCTCTCTCTCTCTCTCGTATTGGGGATTGAACCCAGGGGCACTTAACCAGTGAGCCACATCCCCAGCATCCCTTTTTTTATATTTTACGTAGAGACAGGGTCTCACTGAGTTGCTTAGCGCCTCACCTTTGCTGAGGCTGTCTTTGAACTCACGATCCTCCTGCCTTAGCCTCCTGAGCCACTGGGATCACAGGTGTGCGCCACTGTGCCCCTCCCAGTATTTGTCTCTTATACTTATGGCTTGGTATTACAGTTAATTATTGACTTATCTGCTAGATTGTGAGCCAGATGTGGGTAGGAACCCTGCCTTATCTGTCCTTGTTCCCCTGCACCGGGTACCTGGGAGGTGCTCAGTCATTGTTGAATAAATGGTGAACAAATATTTGTCTTTTCCAGCTGGATAATAGTCCAGCTTTAGGGGGTGTTAAGTTTAAAAGATGTGAAGGACAGTAAAACCCACACACACCCCCCTTTCTCTCTCTAAATCTCACTCCAGGGGATTGTTCAATTTATTAGGCTTGTTTCCTCTCATTGTCCTACCTCATTAGGTCACTTTGAAATGGTCTAATGGAAGCCCATATCACTTTCTCTGCATCTGCCCTGAGCTTTCATTAGCACTTCTTGTTTTTTTTTTTTTTAATTTTTATTTTTTAAAGACAAGGTATTGCTAAGTTTCCCAGGACAACCTTATACTCTATCCTCCTGCCTCCACCTCCTGAGAAGCTGGGATTATAGTCCTGAACCACTATGCCTGTCATTATTGCTCTTGATCCATGTTTTGTGATGTGACCCTAGAGCTTGTGTGATAACACTAATTGTCAAAATTTGATAGACTTCAGCAAGAATTCCAGGCATGGGGAACATCTTGCAAAGAACATAATCTCAAGGATAATGATTACATCTACCTCCCCCAAGACACAGATGTTGGATGCCAATCCCTGTTCTCTCTGTTTCCAGGGATGCTGCCCCTGGCTGACTGCGATCTTCCGCCTGCAGTGAGTACACTAGAGGACAGCTGCTGGGGACAGGTGGCTTTGTTTGGGCTTCTTTGTTCAGGTGTTTGATCAATCAGGAGGAAAAAGCCAAGATGCTTGATCCTGAGATGTGATCTCTTAGATACTTTTCAGTTCAGGTCCAAAGCAATATGTGGGGACTAAAAATAAAGGTGGCCCTTGAGGCTCCTGAATCAAGGTCACAGGGAGGCCTGTAGGACTGAAGCCTAGATGCTGGAGGGTACACAGTTCTGTTGGAGGAACACCGTTCAGCGTTTCCAAACTGCAGGACCCCAAAGTTTCTTTCTTTCTTTATTTTAGTTTTAGGTGAACCCAATATCTTTATTTTATTTTTATGTGGTACTAAGCAGCAAATCCAGTGTCTCATGCATGCTAGGCGAGCACTCTACTACTGAGTCACAACCCCAGCCCCCCCCCCAAGGTTTCTTAAAGTAGCAATGAACTTTTTTTTCTTCCCCCAGAATAATCCATGGAATTTCAAAATATTCTAAATAAGCCACCTCTCCTCCTGAAGCAGGCCAGAGTTCACTGGCATCACATGGCTCTATCTCCTGCCAGTGTCTCCTGGGAACAACTCCTACCAAAGTCAACAGTTTATCTCTCATGTGTTAGTTCATTTGAATTGGGCCAGACCTGTGTTATATCGGAGGCCCAGAGAGAGGAACTTACTCAATGTTCTGCAGCCACTATATTTCATCAATTCTATCATGTCCTTTTCTTTCATGTTGCTACATAGCTAACATTATTTTTTCCCTTAAGCAGGAGTTATTCTACTTAATATTTAATACTGTATAGATGTGGGTAAAAGCTTTGTTAGGCAGGTGTACATATTTTTGAATGAATGAAAAGTGGAGAAGTAAAATACATTTGGCTCATTTGTTTAAAAGTTTTCTGTTTTAAAAAACTTGGAGCCCATGGAGAGAAATCTAAGAGAGGTTCTTGGTGATTAAGAACTGGTTTATCACCTCTCATGTAAAAGGAGCTGGGATTACAGGGGCTGGAGAAATCTTTGCTCTGCCACTTGAGTCTAATAAGCCATCATTGGAAGCTATATATTATTTTGCTATAACACTAAAAGCAAGAAAATGCTGCCATTTAAGCTACCATCAACTATAACTGTAGGGCACACCCCATTTCAGTGATGTTAAAATATAGAGGAGGGGTGGCTTATTTAGAAGTGAAAGCATATAGTCATTGCCAAGCTTTGTCCTGCAGATGGAGAGGAAGCAGAAGTCACATTCACATGCATATTTCTAAGTATCCTCTGGTGCTCAGTTGCAGCATTTGGTACTTGGTGATCACTGTCTTTTTGAATCTTACTAGGCTGATGAAATAGGTAGTGGACAGTTTCCTGTTCTGGGCGGAGGCTCAGGTAGGCCGTAGGATCTGCTCTCAGACAGAGGTGGCTGAACTGGATTTTTTTTTTTTTGTACTGGGGATTGAACTCGGGGTCACTGAACCACTGAGCCACAACCCCAGCCCTATTTTGCATTTTATTTAGAGACAGGGTCTCACTGAGTTGCTTAGTGCCTAGGTGGTTGCTGAGGCTGGCTTTGAACTTGCGATCCTCCTGCCTCAGCCTTTAAGCCACTGGGATAATTGGCATGCACCACTTCGCCTGGCTTGAACTGGATTTCTGATGGCAAAGCCCACACTGACACCTTTCAGACTGGTTCTTTTATGCTATACTTGCTTCTCTGAGCTCTTCTAGTGCATTGCTTTCCAGGCCTTCTGGAAGGGAGGGTCTTGGGATCCCTTCCTGTCAGGAAAGTAAGAACAAGTGGAACACCTGCCCCTTCTCCCTCTGCAGCAAGGAATTCTGGCTGTCTGAGCCTAGAATTCTCCAGTTTCCCAGCTGACCCAGATCTTCCTAATGCGGCACTTCGGAGGGTGGAAAATGGTGGAGCAGACTACCACCTCCCTGTCTCTGGGGCCATGGCCAGGGACACAGGGAGGTGGCAGGTGCAGTTGGATGAACATTGGCTCACCTTCTCTCCCACCTCACCTGCAGGGGAGACAGGAGAAAGGGTGGGACCATGGGCCTGGGCATACTCCAAATCCAAATGTGACCTCCAGCAGCAGAAAGGGTCTGTATGTCTACACACCTTACCATGTGCATAACATGGGCACAGATGTTTCTGGCAATATGAAGTGGGGCAGCAGCAGTACCTTTGCCCCACTAGTAAGAGGGTAGGTCCTGAAAATTATGACGTAGCTCTACTGTTATAAACTGTGTAGGCCTGAAAGCTATGCAATTTTCTGTACCTTTATATCCACACATATTAAAAAAAAAAAGGAGGAATAATAGCAGAGTATCTCACAGGATTGTCATAAGGATTAGATGAGACAATCCATGCCAGGGCCCAGCTGTTATCACTACTTATTAAGATTCCATGTGTGTCTTGGCCAGTGATGACCAGATCCTGGAGTGGTGTGGGGAGGATGCCATCCACTACCTGTCTTTCCAGAGGCACCTCATCTTCCTGCTGGTGGTGGTCAGCTTCTTGTCCCTGTGTGTCATCCTGCCTGTCAACCTCTCAGGAGACTTGCTAGGTAATACCCCTTCTCATCCTTGTCTGTGTTGGGATGGTATAGAGCAGTGGCCCTGGGGAAAGGGTTCATTGTGATAGACCAGGTCCAGGAGTCAGGCCTCTATTCAGATGTGAGACAGCCTTGAGGTGACTTTTGACAATTTTCCCGTCTGACTCAAGATCTAGAAGAGAATCTGCTCCAAATGTGGGTCAAAAACTGAGATCCCCTTAATATCAGTTTCTGGTTCTATCTAAAAAGAAGGAAAAAAAGATCCAAACATTTATGGAATCAGATCAGGGAATTTTAGAAAGTGTTTTATACTTTCCTGCCCTCACTCAGATCAGGAGGCCACAGTTGAGGATCTGGAAGATGCTTAGTCAAAATCAGTGTGGAATCACATCTCCCCAGCTTCCAAGATGCCATCACGAATCCACCTATAACACCAGCGATTCCCAATCTCAGTTTTGGTGACAGCTTAGGATGTTTCTAGTTTTCTCAAAGTATTTCTGTTTTTGTAAATCTCAAAACAAGATGAATTAAAATTCTGACTTTACCTTCACGTTAGATTGAGAAGTTGTCAGGGAGCATTCTGGAGTCAGGCCTTGGTTGGGGTAGCTCTGAAAAGACTAGATGGACATCATCCTAGGACTGGTCCAGGTGTCCTTGCTCCAAACCAAGGCTGGTTATGCCCTTCCTGCTTCCCCAGTGTGAACCGGAACTAATTTTCTGTGCTTCTCCACAGACAAAGATCCTTATAGCTTTGGAAGAACAACAATTGCAAACCTGCAGACTGGGTAAGTATGGACCCATTGGTATGGGGGTGCTGATGGGTGAAACTGGGGAGGAGCCAGGGTAGGCTGGAGGGAGTCCAGAGCAGCAGGCTATGTCTGGAAGCCTCTTGAAGCTGGGGGTGTGAACACGACGTAGGAAGCTGCTGTTTGCAGGGGGTTTAGGAATCACAGAGGGTCCTGTGGATCTAGAGTTCATTTTTCAGGATAGGGACAGGGACCTCTCTGAAGTATTTATAAGGGTGAAGGGGTATTGGCTACATGGCCTCTGTTGGATGCTCTCTTGTGATGAAACCATTGGCACTCAGCATGATGCCCACTGAAGGTCACCTGGCCTCAGCCCATGCCCCCAACCCTGTTGCCTGGGAGCACAGCCCTGATGTTAGGTGGTGTCCCCCCTTAGCAATGACCTTCTTTGGCTGCACACCATCTTTGCTGTCATTTACCTCATCCTCACCGTGGGCTTCATGCGGCACCACACCCAGTCCATCAAGTACAAAGAAGAGAGCCTGGTAAGTGAGGCAGGAGGTTTGGGACATGTGTGAGGAGGGGCGTGGGTGGGAGCCAGAGGGGAACAGCCTCCCAGTTGAGCCATTGGACCATGACAGCAATGAGCTCAGGGAGGAGCCTCTAGAATCTGCCTGGATAATCATACTCTTACTTGACATTATCTTTTTGTTGTTGTTGTTGTTTTAATTTCCTGTGGATTGTTTTAAGATTTGGATATTTTGCTAAACAAGATGGTGCACGCCTGTAATCCCCAGCAGCTTGGGAGGCTGAGGCAAGAGGATTGCAAGTTCAAAGCCAGCGTCAGCAATGGCGAGGCTCTAAGCAACTCAGTGAGACCTTCTCTCTAAATAAAATGCAAAATAGGGCTGGGGACATGGCCCAGGGGTGGTTGAGTGACTCTGAGTTCAATCCCTGGTACCAAAATAAATAAATAAGTAAATAAAATAAAAGATTTGGATATTTTGCCCAAAATCATTCTTTTTTTTTTTTTCTTTTCTTTTCTTTTCTTTTTTTTAAACAGGCAAAGCATAGATTTATTGAAAATGAAAGTGAGGGCTGGGGATGTGGCTCAAGTGGTAGCGCGCTTGCCTGGCATGCGTGCGGCCCGGGTTCGATCCTCAGCACCACATACAAACAAAGATGTTGTGTCTGCCGAAAACTAAAAAATAAATATTAAAAATTCTCTCTCTCTCTCTGAAAAAAAAAAGAAAATGAAAGTGAGAAGTAACACTCTGTGAAGTAGAATAGAGTGGGCCAAGAGAGAGTGGATGTCTGGCTATTTTTGTCTTACATGCTGAGCTGTGTGGTGTTCCCCTTCCAGCATGGACCTGATTGAATTCCCTGCTCCATCCACACCCTTGCTAACTTGTTCTTTGATCTTTGGGGTTTGGACTTGTACTTTCTGACGTTGAGTAAAGAAGTTTAGTTTGAGGGACTAGGGGTGTAGCTTAGTGGTACAGTGATTGGCTAGCATGCACAAGGCTCTGGTTCAAGTGCAAAAAAAACAACCAGAAACAGAAAAAAAAAAAAAAAAGTTTAGGTTGAGGCAGTCCTTCTTTGTGTGACTTGGTCCCAGGCCTGGGTCTTCTTCTGTATTCTGTGTGATCCATTTGAATCACAATCTTCTCTGGGTTCTTTCTCAGTCTCCTGCCCTGCAAAGGAGGCTCAGAGAGTTGCTTTGGAAATGGATTCTTCTGTATCCCAGAAGGGGATGCTGTATAAATAACATGCTCCAGGGCTTGCCAAGGCCATGAGAAGAGAAAACCCAAGCTAATTTTCTATTGTTTTCTTTCAGGAGGCTTGAATGGGGTACAGACCTGGGCCCACTCAGATCCCGGCTTGCCTCGGTGACTTTTCTTCCTCTCATGTTTTTCTGGCAGGTGAGAAGGACCTTATTCATCACAGGACTCTCCAGAGATGCCAAAAAAGAGACAGTGGAGAGCCACTTTCGGTAAGCAGGGCTGAGGGACACAGAAGGGGAGCTGAGTCCCTCCAGGGGACAGCTTAGGATGTTGAGAAGTTGTCAGGGAGCATTCTGGAGTCAAGCAGAGGCCTTGGTTGGTGTAGTTCTGAAAAGACTGGATGGTCATCAACCTAGGACTGGTCTAGATGCTCTGTTCTCTATATCCCAGAGCTTCCCAACCTTGGTTTGGGAAGCTCTGGGATAGTCCCAGAGGATAGTCCTAGCATAGTACCCTCAGGCAGGTACCTTAGGTGAGCACCTTACATCTTCCACTTGGGTATGCAGGTGAGATCCGAGAAGGACTGGCACTGCCACAAAGGTATTGAATGGCTGCTGTGTGCTGGCTCTGTTTGTGCTATGCAAGGGATGGGGTGGGGTGGCCCATTCTCTGCAAGCAACCATGGCTGCGCCACATTGACCATAGTGTCCAGAGTGTGGACCAGGGCACAGGTGCAAAGAAACATCTTGAGAGTATGTGGGAAAAGAAAATTGTTCACCCTGCAGTCTGAGTGTTTACTTTGCCAAGTAAGAGATACGTAAGCGGAGCTTTTCTGCCAACCACGAACTAGAGTCTATGGCAGAAGGATCTCAGGTGCCTGCATTTGTTGGCTTATCCACTCACTCAGAAGGAGCACTCTGCTGGAGCACTCTGCCCAGCTCTGGCCTTCCATGTAAAACCTCCTTTCCAACAGACCCTGCTGACCCTCAGGTGCAATTCCTGTAGGTGGAGGCAGGAGGATCTGTATAGCTGAAGGCAGGAAAAAGCCCCAGAGCCTCCAAGGGAACAACTGGCAAGGGGGTGGGGTGGAGCAACAGGCCCCCAAGATTCAGGGCTGGAGGACTTGAAGGTCAAGCTCCCTTACTGAGGTCTTTCCTATCAATTCAGCAGTCATTAATTTATAGCATGCACTAGAAGTGGGATACAGTTTAACTTTGTGCTTTTTATGAAGAAAGTACTTGCTAAGCAAATTGTTACTATAAACAGAATTGTGAAAGGAATATTTACGATTTATTGAATTAATATTTAATGTTTTTTCAGAAACTGCAAGTATTTTAGAAATAATCACTTCATATAAAGTCTCAACACCACAATCATTTTTCTATTCCTTGAAACAATTCCCCCAAATTGCCTGCGAGGCAGCATTTGGAAATAGCAGTTCCACTTCACGTATACACTGAAAGAAGAAAAGAAAGGTCCCCTCATTCCCAAGCAAACATTGTATGACTCACACTTTTTCCTATTTTAAGAATCCTTCTTAGTGAATGCTGTTGCAGTCCATGGGGACCCATGTGTGAATTTCCCTTGTAGCAGAGATACTTAAATGGGGCATCTCTTCCTCGAAGCTCTTATTGGGACCTGAAATAGTCCTATTGATTAGCTGAATAATTTCCACATCTATGGGCTGTCCTCTCACTAGAATGTAAGCTTATCAGGATTTTTTTTTTTGCCACTACTTAGAAGAGTAGTGGGTGGAGATTGACATGGTCTTGATGTCCCCAAGAGTACAATTGTGTGTATGGTGAGATGACATTGTGTGGTGGCAATGGACATCAACCACTCACAAGTTATGTGACCTTGGGCAAAGCCACTTAGAATTTGTGGGCTTCAGTTTACACATTTGTAAAATGGGGACAAAGGATGAGGATGCAGTTCGGTGGTAGAGTGTTAGCCTAGCATGTGCAAGGCCCTAGGTTGGATCCCCTGACTGCCAAAAAATAAAATAATGTCAAAAACTCACAGGTTATGATGAGGATTACATATGTTAACATATATAACAGTACCTGGCCAATAATAATTGATTACATATTTTGCTGATTGTTGATATGTGTGTAGACACTTGATAGATTGCAATGTTTTGCTTTCATTAGACCTACTGAAGGTCTCTGACCTTCACAAAGTTTATGAACTGACTAGGATTTCAATGATAGCACAGGATAGATATTACCCTAGGACAAATGATAAATCTCTTCCTTTGGGTAGGTAGAAGGAATAATAGACATGGGATTTGTTTGTTTGTTTGTTTGGTGGTGGGGATGGAACCCAGGGCAAGTTCCACCACTGAGCCACACCCCAGCCCTGATGTATTCAAATTTCCCCATGAGAAGTACCTGCTGATTGAAAGCCAAGTAGATATAAACTTGTCAGTTTTAAGACAGTTACCTTCAGGATATTAAAAAAAAAAAATGTCTCTTTGGCCAGATGTGGTAGTGCACACCTGTCATCCCAGCTACTTGGGAGGCTGAGGCAGGAGGAACACAAATTCAAGGCCAACCTGGACAATTTTGTGAGATTCTATCTCCAAAAATATAAAGGGCTGGGATGAAGGTCAGGGGTAGAATGCTTTCTTAGCATATTTGCAAAGCCATGGGTTCTAGCCCAGCATCACCAAAAGAAAACAAAACAAAACATTTTTTTCAAACTTCAAAATTTCAGATTTCAAATATTTTCCCCTTTTGGGGAATAAAAGACAAACAGAAAAGAGGTCTCTGCTGGCACGGAAACTAGTAGCCTGAATGCTTTACCATTCTTTCCTTTGGTGATTGGGGGCAATTTGTCCCTCCTGATCTGGTCACTCTTCCAATGACTGTCTTTTGCCTTGGCCTGCCCTGGCCACAGGGATGCATATCCCACATGTGAGGTGGTGGATGTCCAGCTGTGCTACAACGTGGCCAAGCTCATCTACCTGTGCAGGGAGAGGTAAGGGAGGGTTGCTGGAGTGTGCCTTGGTTCACCTGTCCTGGAGCTTTCTGACCCCTTGTCCCCTGAATGTCCAACTTCTTCCTGGCTATCCTGGGATCCCTCCACTGAGAAGGGAGAAGGGTGGTCTTTCCCTTTTGTGGTTCAAAAAACTCAACTCCCATTCTGTCCTGGTGACAGATGGTGTGCATGAGGCCCTGGTGACAGACTGTGTGCAAGGGACCCCTGTCCATAGGACTATGAGTCTGACACTTGTGCCCTATCTCCAACCCCACTCTCATCTCTACAGAAAGAAGACAGAGAAGAGCCTGACTTATTACACAAATCTGCAGATGAAGACTGGTCGGGCAACCCTCATCAACCCCAAGCCCTGCGGCCAGTTTTGCTGCTGTGAAGTGCAGGGCTGTGAGCGGGTGAGGGCCCTACATCCCTGCCAGGAGCAGGGGCGCTGATGTAGGGGTGCCCCTGACACCTATCCAGGGCCGCATCACTCCAAGGGGTTGTGTCTTCTGGCAGGAGGATGCCATCTCTTACTACACACGCCTGAAGGACAGGCTGATAGAGAGGATCTCGGCAGAGGAATGCCATGTCCAGGATCAGCCCCTGGGGATGGCCTTTGTCACCTTCCAGGAGAAGTCCATGGCCACCTAGTGAGTAGGAACCCATCCCGGGCCCTTTCTTAGCTGACTCCCAGGCCCCATCTGGATAACTTGCTTTCTATTCTGGGTAGAGGCCACCCTACCATTCCTCCTTCAGGGAACCCAACCCATGTTTGTGTGACAGCTGACAGGGCTTGGCCTGGGGTGATTCACCTGACTCCTGTTGGGCTGATGTGGCCTGGTCGACTGCCAGGCTCTCACCAGCTGCTCCAGGGATCCTTCCCTTTGGCTCTGTGTCTAGCATTCTGAGTGGATGCTCCCTCCTTGCAGACATCTGCTCTAGAACCGCAGAGGCTTCTGCTCACAGGCCCAATGTGTAGCTGGGAGGGAGGACCCATGGGGGACACTATGGTATTCACAGCTTTGGGAAGTCTGGAGCTATAAACTCATAAAGTGCTCCTACACCTGAGACCTTGGTGTCACCTTGCCTTGGGAACAGCAGGGTGTAGGTTGGGAGTGGGATGAGGAAAGGAGGAGGCCACGCCAGCGCCCCTTCCTCTGCCTTCACTGTCTCTGGCATGATGACCTTGGTTATGGACTCTTGGATGTTACTCACTGGGGTCCCTGCCTCAGACCCAGGGGTGCGAGGAGGCCAGTAGGAAGGGAGACAGGAGTCAAGAGGTGTTGGGTTCTTCATGGGAGGCCAAAGGGGGAAAGAGTGGAGATGATGAGGGTGCAGGTGGGTGTCCTGGGAGGGAGTTTAGGATCAGGCAGTGTATGATGTGGCCTAATGCTGTCAGGCTAGGGGTGAAGGGAAGATATGGAAAGGTGAAGCCCCTGGGCTGGCAGCAGGCTCAGATCAGAGCTCCAGCCTCATGGGCAGGTGGAGGGAGTGGCCCTCGGAGGAGCATTGTGTTGGGGAAGTGCAAACAGCGGGCTAACTGGGTGAGCCTGTTTCCTTGTGTATGAAATGGGACCAGTAATCCCTTGCTGCAGGGTGAGGATTAAAAAAAACTTAAAAAAGATGTAGTGTGCCAAGCATGACACCTCTTTCACTACAATAAGAGAATGTTAAAGCAAAGACCTGTGCTGTGCGGCTCCCACTTTTCCTTGGTCCCCATTTGATGTATGTGGTACCTCAGCTGAGCTGGGCCCTGACTGGTTCTGCATTTCCTGGCAGCATCCTGAAAGACTTCAACGCCTGCAAGTGTCAGGGCCTTCGGTGCAAAGGTGAGCCCCAGCCGTCTTCCTATAGCAGAGAACTCTGCATCTCCAACTGGACAGTTACCTTTGCCTCGTACCCAGAGGACATCTGCTGGTGAGCTCCCAGGCCAGGGAAGGGGTGGAAGAGAGACCTGGGCTCCTGCTGGGCCATCCTGTCACCCAGGGCATAGGTGTGACCTGACATTGAGTGGAGATCTACACATGTCTTGTGTAATTCACTGGGCCCAGGTGCCATGATGTACTCTATGTGGCCCAACTGGGATGTCCACACCTAGCTCTTGCCTCCACTGTTACTCCCTAGCATTCAAACAGTGTCCAGCAAAAAGATAATATGAACTCTATATGTAATTTAAATTTCCTAGTAGGTCTGTTAAAAAAGGAAACCATTTAAGTTAATATTAATAATATATCTCTCCTAATATACCCAAAATGTTAACACTGGCAGAGGTAATTATTTTTTTAATTGAGACTTCTTTACATTCTCTTTTACATGCTTAGTCTTAGAAAGCTATTGCATGTTTTATTCTTGTAGCACTTCTCAGTTGAGACCATATTTCAAGTGCTCATTAACACATGTAGCTTATGGCTACCACATTATACATACAGCACAGCTGGTGAGCCAAGCTATCCCCAGAGCCATGGAGGAGACTTAAGTATAGTGGATGCTGAGGATGGAGGCCCAGCCTGGCTGCCTGTCCAGAGTGGCCTCTGGTACCTGCACAGAAGGAGTTCTGGATGCCTATCTCCACTGAATTTAAGTTTAGCCTCTGACAGTTTTGTTTGCTGGTTCAAACTTGTGATTGATTTGTATGGTCTGTTCTTGGTGGAAATGAGGGTCCAGGGCAGGCTCCAGCTGTGCCTGTGCCCCTTTTTCTCTGCCTTTTACCTCCTTGCACCCCAACCTATGGTACCATTGGGAAGAATGTGTTGCTAGTCACAGGGCATTGCAGATGTCGAAAAAAGGTCACGCTGGAGCTTTGTTTGGTCCGTTTGGGTGCTCGTGACATCTCTTTGGTAGGTTTTGGTTCCCAGACTCTGGCAAGGAGCCACGTCAGCAGTGAATAGTGTTTTTCCGTCTGAGCTGGGGAACTGAAACTTGGCCTTCTTGTAGCTGAAGGCCAGTGCAGAGAACTTGACTTTACTCCTGAAGGCCGAGTACTACGCACTCAGCCAGAGCCCCCAGGCTGGTCTCCTGGCATGTCTAAATCTGACCTTCTCACCCACCTAAGCACTGCTGGTACTGTTGGCCTATGCCTGGGAGATAAGCCTTTGGGCCTGTGTCCCTCCCTCTGCAGGAAGAATCTCTCCATCCAGGGCCTCCGCTGGTGGCTCCAGTGGCTGGGCATCAACTTCACCCTCTTCATAGTGCTGTTTTTCCTGACCACACCCTCCATCATCCTGTCCACCATGGACAAGTTCAATGTCACCAAACCCATCCATGCATTAAATGTGAGTGACTGTGCTGCGAGGCCCATCCAGGAGGGCCAGCAAGAGAGGGGCATCATGGGTGGGGGAGGAATGAGGGTCAAAGGGTTTGGGGGGCTGAACCAGGAGGCCAAGTTACTCAGCTCATGTCTGCACTTTTAAACCCCAAGCAGGGGTTTAAAAGCATGACCATGTTTATTACAGTGTTTTTACAGTTAATATGTCTATGTAGATACATATATTAAGTTAATGGAATCAATCTAAAAATGCTCAACAGAAGGGATCATTTGAGCTGAATGAGATATATTCAGCCTGATAGAATGTTAAGCATCTAATAAAAATTATAAAGGTTTTGTGGCACAGAGGAGGGACTTATGATAAAAGCAGAATGTCAAATTATCTCTAATCATTGGTTCCAGGGAATATACAGTGATTCGTGTAAATCGTAGACACTATGGAGAAGGGACAGGAAAGAATGAAAAGCACTTTGTTGATTGGGGTGGCAGGATCATGGATGATGATTTCTTTATGTTTTAGTTTCTCATAATCTCATTTTAAAGTAGTTTATTCTAATATAGTTAATGAATGATTTTCAAAATACCTTAGCTGGGGCACAGTGACCCATTCCTGTAATCCCAGTGGTTTGGGAGGCTGAGGCAGGAGGTTCATAAGTTTGAGGCCAGTCTGAGCAACATAGCAAGACCCTGTGTCAAAATAAAAAACAAAAATTTAAGTTTAGTGGGGGATGTGGCTCAATGGTTAAGCACCCCTGGGTTCAATTTCTGATACCAAAAAAAAAAAAAAAAAGCAAACAAACAACAACAAAAAACCCACCTTAGATGGCCAGATGAGGTGGCATACAGCTGTAATCCCAGTAACCTGGAAGGCTGAGGCAGGATTGCAAATTCAAGGTCAGTCTCAGCAACTTAGTGAGATCATGTTTCAAAAACAAAACAAAACAAAAAGCAAAGAAGAATCATTAGAATAACAGCCTGAACACCCTCTAAATAGACATCTATTGAGAAACAATTTTCCCATACTTAACTTTGCTAAAATATCTACCTGGATCTTTTTTCTTTTCTTTTTTCCAATTCCACTGGGCTAATCATCCCTGGGTAATGAATTCTGATCCTGAGTGTTTCACCCAGGAGCTGGGGTTGGAATACCTGCCATAGAATGCTCAGGTTGTGATGATGATCCAGCGAGCTGCTGTGTGGTTGGAGCTCTTATCGGACATGTGATAAAAGGCTACCTAGGTATACATCCAGCAGTTTGATTTAGATTTACAGCAGGTAAATGCTTATTGCCTTTGGTAATCTTTTATAGGGACAAGATCTGTTCTTTTGAAGATGGATTTGCTGGGTTGGGTTCCTCTTTGTCTATTTTACATAAATTGCACTCTTATTTCATCATTTGTGATTCCAGCTTGGGTTTCTTTAAAATACAGTAAGAATTTAGTCTGGTGACAAAGCTCAGTGGTAGAGCAAGTACTTAGCATGTGCAAGGACCTGGTTCTAACCCCAGCACCTAAAAATAGATAAATAAAGCAAAGCAAGGACTTAAAAGATACTTGCAAAGCCATTCCAAGTATAAAACCTTCTAGATTTCATATCCCTTGGTCTTTTACAGTTAATTTACTCTTATCTGATTCAACAGCACTTTTAAGAAATTGTCTTTATAAATCTTTTCAAAATATCCAGCTTAGTTCATTTGTTCATTCTTCTTCTCCCTTTCTTTCATTGGTTGGTTTATTTGTTTTTCAAGGTGCTGGGGATGGAAACCAGGGCCTCAAATGAGCGATGGCAAATACTCTGCCATTGAACTGCACTCTCAGCCCTAGTTTAGTATCCAAAGAGAATTTCTTCCTATTTTTATGTCCATTTAATCAGTGAAAATAATAAGTTAAGTCATATAATGACAATAACAAGTATAACGAGCATAACAGGATTGGGATCAAACAGCACAGCGTCCTGGTAAGCTGCAGTTGGACCAGTGGGAGCTGAATGGGAAGACCAACTGGAGAGGGGCCCTGGCCTCAAGCTTTGGTCTTCCTTAGCATCAGCCATTCATTTTCTATAGGGAACAGAGATGTTGTCCATCAGATAAATGGAGTTCTGTTATGTGTGAAATTGCCTTCTTTGCTATAAAGAGCTATAGAATCATAAGGGGCTATTATTGTTTATTTGATCAATATTTGAGAACTGTCTACCCTGTACCCAGCACAACATTGATTCTGGAGGATGACCAAGACTCTGCCCCAAGAGTCCACTGAGCCACCATGCCCTCGGGTCAGCTCCTGTGGCCCAGAGCCCCTCCAACTCTCTCTGCTATGGACTTTGTCTTCCAGAACCCGATTGTCAGCCAATTCTTCCCAACACTCCTCCTCTGGTCCTTCTCGGCCCTGCTCCCATCCATTGTCTACTACTCTACACTGCTGGAGTCTCACTGGACCAAGTGAGTGCCCGAGCCTCAACGTCCCCCCACTAAAAAGGACGTCTCTGACACTCCAAGCCAGGGCAATGGGCACATAGCAGGGCCTTAGTTGGGAGCACCTGGAGCTTTTGGGGGACCATAAATACTCATCTCTGACTTCCTGCAGGTCAGGGGAAAACCGGATCATGATGACCAAGGTCTACATATTCTTGATCTTCATGGTGCTGATTCTGCCCTCCCTGGGCCTCACCAGGTATACACCTCTGCCTCCTGTCCTAAATTCAGAATTAGGGCCACCTCTGGGAAGGCTTGCCCCAAGGAGAATGTGAATGGTTTTGGAGCAGATGCAACTCCCTAACAACTTTTAAGCCTGTGCTGTTTACTTGGGTTCCAGTTGTACTGATTAATTGATTCTCCTGAAAATCTCATCTTCCTTAAAAAAAAAAAAAGTCTGCACACAGAACTTATTAGGGACTTCTTCTTAGGGAGGGTCTAATCAGAGCTGTGATTATCTTAAGGAGGGAGGGAAATTTCAGTTAAAAAGCCCCAATGAGTCACATTGTAGTAAGTGGCATTGTAGAGAACAAAGGTAGATCTTAAGATCTGGCCTGTTTTTAGAGTGGAACAAGATGAAAATATATCGTGGTCACATGGAGTGTTAGAAATAAACTCTTAGGGGCTGGGGGTGGGTAGCCCAGTGGTTCAGTTGCAGAGCATGTGTGAGACTCTGGGTTCCATCCCCAGCACTACAAAAAATAAAATAAATAAACTGAGATTCATTTGTGTTTCAGTCTGGATTTTTTCTTCCGGTGGCTCTTTGACAAAACTTCCTCTGAGACCTCTATCAGATTGGAGTAAGTATCAGACAGATGGAGTTCTGGAACCACCGTCCTGGGTCCAGGTCCACAGGTCCTCGGTCTGGGGCCACAGTAGAAGGGCTGGGGTGGTAGTCAGGCATCTTGCTACCTGCAACGGTAGGGCCTGGGGCATTATAAGTACCCCTGCCAGGTGCCTGGTACACACCAGGGGAACTGACCCACTTTGTGCTACCCTTGCAGAAATGTGATTAATCTTTTAGGCCCAAACTCAGCAACAGTCATTTCTATTATTTGAATCTTACTTACTGAGCACAGAGCCGCTCAGGGAAAAGGAACTGCTGGGTCTCTGTGGTGCCAGGGAGCAAGGAAGGAGGATAATAATTAAGCACAGCAGCCGGAGAGACTGTCTGGTCTGGGGATTATTTTTGTTGGGAAAATGGGGTTCAATTTATGGCTGATGTGTGTCTTATTAGTATTGTTAACCTATACTACACCCACTGAACAATAATGTTAATTACAAAAGTGCTATGCTAAATCCTTTATACATCTTTTTCTCATTTAACATGTATAACAAGCTATGAGGTACGTATTGTTATTATCTCCATTTTACAGATGAGAAGACTGAGACGCAGAGATTTTGATTAACTCATTTAAGGTTACCCAGCTAATTAGACAGAGTTGGGATTTAAGCCCAGCCTCTATTGCATTGTACTTTGGGGCTAAATATAGGCCCAGAGGCCTGGGATTAACTCTTCCAAGGGTATGTTTGCAGGGCAAACTGGTGAACCTACCTGTAAGGAAGGGGCTAATTATTTTAAGTGAGTTTTTCTGGGTAGGGCAATGATTCGGGAGCTGGCAGCCAGGCCTGTACCCACCTAGCTCTTGTCTAGTTGACAGTGACTTCCAGATTGCCAAATTCAATGGCCACCTCTTAGTTCCTATCTTCTGTGATTTATCAGCAACATCTGACACATTTGATTGAAACTCCCTTCCCTTGAAACGCTATCTTCACTCAGCTCTGGGCCTCTGCTCTCAGCAATCCTGTCCAGTGGCGGCTCCTTCCTAGCTCCTTCAAGTCTCCTTAACCTAGACATTAGCTACCTGAGGGCTCACACTTGGTTCTCTATCCATAGTCCCCCTCTAGGTGACCTCAAGTGCATCCCTGACTTCAGTGCTACTGGGGATGTAACTCCGATGCAGGGTGGCTTAGCATCACGCAGAGGCTCGCAGCACACACGTGCACACGCACTCAGAGAGCAGATTAATCAGTCTACACTGCACCCGCAGACTCTTCTATCCAAATCCCAATCCCTATCTCAACTCCATCTGGAGCTCTGCTGGACATTGCAGATTTTATTTTCCCAAAACCAAATGCTTGATTTTTTATTCCCAAATCTGCCCTCCCACAGTTCCCCCCCCCCTTCCATAATGTCTTTCTAGTTTCTGCAGCAAAAAACCTTGGAGTTCACCTTATATCCTTTCTTTCTCACACCACACCCAGTCTATCTATCTCTAAGATAGATCCAGAATCCCAGGACCATATCTCTCTCCTCCCAGCACCACAGCTGGGAGGATGACAGTACTAGCTGTCTGCTTGGTCCCCCACCCTTGTGCTGTTCCTTGGAAATGCCAGGCACACACCTCCTTGGAAAGTGTGGGCTCCTTAGAGAGGCCTCTCTCACCACCCTGCTAACATCGTGGACATCCCGCCCTGCTCGAGTTCCCCTGGAGCACTTGCCCGGCATACAGTATATTTGGACATTTGTGTATATCCCCCAGACGGCACGTAAATGCAAGGACAGCAGAGCGGAAGGCTAAGCTTCAGTCTCCACGCCTGGCACATAGATGTGCTCCACAAACACATGCCGAATGAGAGAATGAGGCTGAAGCCCTCCAAGGGGCTCCTGCCTCTCCCTCTGGTGGGAAGGAGGCTCCCTGGCTCCCAGCTTACAGACCCCGCTGGGTTCCCCAGGTGCGTCTTCCTGCCGGACCAGGGTGCCTTCTTTGTGAACTACATCATTGCCTCAGCCTTCATCGGCAACGGCATGGAACTGCTGCGGCTGCCGGGCCTCATCCTCTACACCTTCCGCATGATCATGGCCAAGACAGCCGCTGACCGCCGGAACGTCAAGCAGGTACCATCCCCTCTCTGACTCCCTTGCTAGAGCCCCTGACCTGGATTTACCTGGCCACCTACTAGTGCTAAGTGCTGGGCCAAAGGCTTCTCAAACCTCATCCAGGGCCACTTCTGCCAGAAGCTGCTTTGGAACCTGGAATGTCACCATTTAGATTCCTCTCTATGGGCTAGAGGAGAGAACTTTGGGATTTTTTTTTTTCCTTTTTGTACTAGGGTTTAAATTTAGGTTGGGGAGTAGGGGAGAGCTTTACCACTGAGCTATACCCCCAGACCTTTTTATTTTGAAATGACTTCCTAAGTTGATGAGGCTGGCCTCAAATTTGTGATCCTCCTGTCTTAGCCTCCCAAGTCACTGGGATTTCAAGTGTGTACCACCACGCCTGGCAAGGATTTTTACATTTTAACCAGTTTGGTCTCATATACATACATACAAACAACTAAAATCCACAAATTCCTGGGCTGGGGATATAGCTCAGTGATAGAGCTCCTGCTTAGCAAGTATAAGGCCTGCATTTGATCCCCAGCACCACAAGAGAAACTGGATCAGGCTTGGGGAGGGATAGCAAAGACTTCCAGAAGTCTCCTATTTTCCAAGTCCTCCCTAACCCAGCTTAGGCCACCGCTTGGACTGCACCGAGCGGTGTCATGAGCTCCTTACCACCTCTTCCTCCCAGAACCAGGCCTTCGAGTATGAGTTTGGAGCCATGTATGCGTGGATGCTGTGCGTCTTTACTGTCATCATGGCCTACAGCATCACCTGCCCCATCATCGTGCCATTTGGTAAGTGGCCCTGGGGCCTGTTCCAGGGTATGTGGGCAGCTGATTCCACCAAGCTTCCTAGAGAAAGTCATCACCAGGACATTGTGGATCCCAGACACAATGGACCTCTTATAGCCATTAGAACCCAAAGCTGCCAAGGAACTACATGGGACACCAAATTTCATTTTGTCTTTAAATAAATTCCTTCCACTGGCCTCCTAGCTATGAAATAAATCCCTTAGTGTGAGGTTCTCTGGCTAGCAGACCATATTATTCTTGGTTGATTTTTTTTTTTTTTTTTACTCCCCTGGGGATGGAACTCAGGGCCTTGTGCATGCAAAGACCTGCTCTACAAAGAGCTACAACCTTATCTCCAAAGTGAGAACTTTGGTTATTACTGCATTGTGTTACTTACTGCTAAAGAATCAACCAAGAGGGATTGGGGGTGTAGCTCATTAGCAGGATGCATGCCTAGCATGTCCAGTGCCCTAGGTTCTATGCCCAGTACTGCAAAACAAACAAAAACCAGAACTTGGCAGGTAGGAAAGGTAGCACCCACCTTCTGTGTCCTCCCCTTGGAGTACGATCTTTGGGCATCTGTAGACTGTGAGGATGCAGGAGGGCATGGGGTGCTGAAGTATGGGGGTTCAGTATGGGAGGGCCAGGAAGACTGAGGCCAGGAAGATCGAGGCCAGGAAGATTGAGGCCAGGCATCTCCATGTGAAACAGCCTTTCCCAAGATGATTCTAGAATTTCATTGTTCCATGGGGACAGAATCACAGACATTGCCATTCTTTGGGGGTCAGGAGAAAGTGAGGAAAGATGCAGAAAAGGAGAGAAATAGAGAACCAGTAGGTAGGTTGCACATTTTGCCTAATTTCAGGTTTAAGCCATAGATCAGCAGCCTGATCACTTCTCCATGCCAAAAATTGCTATCCTGAGGAAAGGGACAGACATGCCCTTGGGGCCTAGCAGGGACTCCAGCTCACAGCCCCACCTCTGCAGGCCTCATCTACATTCTGCTCAAGCACATGGTGGATCGACACAACCTCTACTTCGCTTACCTTCCCGCCAAGCTGGAGAAGAGGATCCACTTTGCTGCAGTGAACCAGGCCTTGGCTGCTCCCATCCTCTGCCTCTTCTGGCTCTTCTTCTTCTCCTTCCTGCGCCTGGGTGAGTGGCCTTTCTGACCTGGGGCCCCAGCCCTTGGCCTCATATTCCTGCATCCCTCTAGCCTATCAGATCCCTTGCTGCTTTAATGGTATCAACTTGGTGTCCAATCAGAACATGGTGCCCCAGGGTGAGGCTGGTTGGGCATCCAATCAGAATGTGGTGCCCCAGGGGGAGGCTAGGTTGGTTATCCAATTAGAATGTGGTGTTAACCTAGCCTCTGAGCTAGCTGAAGCTCGGGTATAACCTCCTGAAGGCCTGGTCAGTTGCCTCAGACCTCCTTAGGGAGAAGACATTCCCTTTATCAATTCTGGTGGCACTGAACTCAAGGGTATGGGAAAACTGGTCCAGATTGCTTGGGTGTTGTGGAGGAGTCCAGGTCCTCACAACTTATAAAACAGAGGAGATGGGGCATGCTGGAGGGAAAACTGACCCTTTCAGGAAAAAGAAAAAGAAGACATGTGACTTTGCCACAGTCAGGCTGGGAGAGCCTCCATCCTACCTAGCCCAGGGTTGTCTCTCCCAGAGACTGGAGGGAACTGTCCCAGCAAGGACGCTGTAAATGGCCATTGACTTGGCCTCCCAGTGCCTGAAATCTGACCAGGGATAATGGTCACCATTCCACGGATCACTCTCTGTGCTCCTGGCTGTGTGAGAACACCATTCTACCTGCTGGAGTGTGGGGTGGGGTGAAGATAGGGAGAATTCACACACAATTCCTGCACCAGGTGTGGCCTCCACCCCTTCCTCCAAGGCTGGCATCTCTGTCCCCAGGTCTGAAGGCCCCTGCCACCTTGTTCGCCTTCCTGGTTGTGCTGCTCACCATCCTGGTCTGCCTGGCCTACACTTGCTTTGGATGTTTCAAGCACTTCAGCCCTCTGAACTACAAGGTACAGGGCCCCCTCCTCTGCTGCCCAGCGAGGATGCTGGAGAAGACCGCGGGTTCCCCTCCACCCCTTCCATATCCACACAGCAACAGCCTTCTCCAGATTGTATTTATTCCTTGGAAAGGCGTGGGTAGTTGGGTGTGATGTGAAGCTTCCCTCCTTTCTCTCATCCCTGCTCCCAGCACCCACACCCTATCCCACTTGGGGCTGGGCTGCTGGGAGCCTGGTGCCAGGGGGTACTGTTATTCTGCATGTTAATAGTCATTTGTTTGGAGGTTGGTTTGGAGGGGCTAGTTCAGGGAGATCCGTTTTGTTTATCATTGTGCATCTTTGCTGTTATCTGCAGACAGAAGAATCATCAAGTGACAAAGGAAGTGAGACGGAGGCCCAAGTGCCCCTACCATTCACAGTAAGCTGTCTTTATCTATCTTTACCCCTGAGTGCTTGTTGCTCTGTCTCACTCTGGTGGTAGAGGTTCCCTTCAGACAGGTTCTGGCTGATGTGCTTTGATCGTCTCTTGTTAGGATAGAAATCCCTTGATCACACGGCAGGCAAGTTTCGGAATTAATGTGAATGGAGAAAGAATCCCTAGTCCCTCTGGATATTTTAACCTGCATATCTGAAGCCACATCAGTCACTGGGAAGATAATTGGTCTTGGCGGATGTTTGCCCATCCCCCTAGGTTCAGTTCCGTGCTCACTTTTCCTCTCTGCATATCTAATGTCTGATGAGTCTGGGGCATAGTGAACGCCATCAGGAGCCCTGTGGTTGGACGAAGCTTTACCACCAGTCATTCACCCACCTGTGTGGTCCTCCACTAGGCACCAAGAGGTGTCAGTGTAGTCCCCCCTTGAGTTCAACAAATGGATGATGCACCTGCCTCAGAGTGAGGCATAATGCTCAAAAGATACCAGGACTCTTACTGGGCCAGTTCACCCTGCCTCTGGTCTCCAGTGTCCTCCTCTCAGAGTGGGGCAAGATCCCAAAGCCACAGGATGCCACAGCTGTGACTGCTGGTCATCCTGACCTATGTGAGGCCAAGGTGGTGGCTGATCTCATTAGCAGTGTTCTTTCCAGTGTCTGCCTCCTCTATGTCAGGCACTCTTATCAGTGTCTGTCCTTGGACAAGCCCCAGAGGAAAAGGTCTTCAGAGAGATTCATTACCCAGAGACACCTGTGGCTATGCAAGCCAGGCAAGGGGAAAGCAGGGCAGTGGGAGGGTGTAAATGCTTCATTCTCAGCCTGGGTCTGGGGAGGGGTGGGGCAGGACGGTATTGGGGGTGGGCTGGAGCCTGGAGTGGGGAGGATGCATAATCTCTACAGACTTGCCTCTGTAGAAAGACTTGTTTCCTCTATAAAGTGAAAGTTCTCCTAGAATCCATTGCTAGGAAGTTGTTTCTTCTGAGAAATGAAGGAAACTTTTCTGTTGTGCTTCCTTCTATATGATCACGAGAACTGTGTCATTGGTTGTGTTTTCTGTTTTGCCCTGGCTGCTGGGAAATTCTGCAATTGGCATATTTTGTGCCCTGATGTCCTAAGGTGATGCTGTTATTTCTTTGCATGGGTCCTTCAGCTGGAAGGAGGGGCCCTAGGGGAATGGGTATGGAATCTCATGCCTGCCACCACCCAGACACTAATTCCCCTATCTGTTGACAGCCCTATGTGCCCCGGATTCTGAATGGTTTGGCCTCGGAGAGGACAGCCCTGTCCCCGCAGCAGCAACAGACCTATGGCGCCATCCATAACATCAGCGGGACTCTCCCTGGACAGCACTTAGCCCAGAGCCCTGCGGACAGTGTGGTCTCTGCCTACCAGGAGGCCTGAGGGTGGGCAAGCTGCTGGTCTGGGCCAGGCTCAGGAGCCCCAGAGAAGACTCAGGTGGAAAAGCAGATTGACTGCAACCCCTACCAAGTTCAGGACTTCTTTCCATCTGTTTTAAGCCCCATTGTTCTGAAAATATAGAACCAGAAGGGTCTGGGACTCAGGCCCTTAGCTGAGGGGGAAGGGTTGGGGCGGCCAGGTTAAGAGCCATCAAGTGGGTCCTCTTTTTTTCTGCTCACAGCAGAAGTGTGGGGAACAGCTGTGGCTCTCCACCCTCATTTGCTCACCTGTGATTCTGCACATTTCTATTCCCAGCCACCTCCTGAGCAAGCTTCCAGCTCTAGCAGTCCCAGTGGTTTATAGCCAAGATCATGTGCTGGAATTTTGTTCCCCAGCAAAGATTATGTTGGATGAGAAGGAGAAATTGTCTCTCTTGAGTACCCAACACAGCCTGTCCCTCTACAGGCTCATGGACGACTAGTGACCAGAAAGCCTGCAGCGATCACGTCTGAGATGAAACCTAGAGGGGAGTCCAGCACCCCGCTGGCCCTAGCCAGGCAGCCCTCCAGGCTGCTCCTGAAGTGAGCTGGGGGAGCTGGGGTAGGAGCACCAGTACCGGCTGCAGCAGGCTCCTGCCAGCTGTGCAGGTTTTTATCATGTTGCCAGGGATTCTGTGACTCGGTAAGGGAGAGATGATGAGGATCAGGGGACAGAGGTGAGCCCCTTCTTCAAAAAAGGGGCATCTTCTTCAAGACAAGATTGGGGAGAAAGGCAGAGAAAATGAGGGTCACTAATAAAGTGCCCGTTGGGCTAGGTTGGTGAGATCCGGTCTCAGGGCAAGTGTGTGGGGTTCACTCCAGGGCGGCTCCCTCCAGGCTCAAGATGGGTAGGGGCAGTGCTCAGGTCTTTCTTGGAGCCAAGGGAGGCCAGTGTGGTTAAGTAGAGATGAGTGGAGGAGGTGTCTGGGCTGGATGCAGGACTATCTGCTGCCCTTGAGCTGCGACCCCAGCAGGAAGTACTGGCAGCACCTTGTCTTTTTCCTTCCTTCAGGATCTGGGGGCTGGGACCCGTCTGAACTTTTGCCCAGACACCTCCTCCCTGCTGCCTCCAGAGGGCGTCAGAGGCACAAGGGCTTGGCAAGATGCAGCAGAGGCCAGGGGCGCTGCCGAGGGCCCTGTGAGTGGGGCAGTTTCGGTGCACAAAGGCTTCCTCTAGTCCAGTGGCGCTCTGTAGGCGCCACCTGCACTGGCCCACGGTCCCTGCCAGGCCTGGGCTTTCCATGTCATCTCACACTGAGCCTCTCAGGCACGCCTCTGCTGAGTGACATTGATCCTGAGAGGGGCTAGGGTAGCACGACCTGTCCTTTGGGGCTGCCTCCTACAGGGTAGTCCTGGCCAGTGACCTTGGCCCCACAAAGCTTCTCCTACCCTTATGAGTGAGGAGGGGCAGCAGAGGGCCGCAAGGGGGGCCCTTCTCTGTACAAATGTGGACCCACGGGCTCTCCTCTAAAAGGGGCGCTCCAGGCGTGCTGTTTGGTTCCAGCCACTCTTAGAAGTAAAATCATTTATTATGAAAGCCATGTTGTACAGTGAGTGTGGATGACAGTGGAGGGGTAAGCTGGGCTCCCAGAGAGGGCAGGGGACAAAAGCAAGCCCCATCCTCAGAAAAGGGGCATCTTCTTCAAGACAAGACTGGGGAGCCAGGGCTGCTTCTGAGGCCACGGTCAGTCCCCACAGGTGTCACTGTTGCTCTACCAGTGTAACAAACTTGCGGATGTCCTGGGCGAGCAGCTTTGGCTCCTCAAAGGCAGCGAAGTGGCCTCCTGCGGCCATGTAGGAATAAGAAATGAGTTTGGGGAACTTGGATTTCAGCCACTTTTCTGGAACATGCAGGATCTCACAAGGGAAGGCAGCAAAGCCGGTGGGCACGAAGACCTTCATCCTAGAAGAACACAGATTCCAAGAGGGGTGAGCCTGTGGTGTGCACTCTCTGGCCCCTAAGGGCACAGGAGGAGGGCTCAGCAAGCCCACATGGAGTCATAAAGAAAGACCCAAGGTTTTAACCACCCTCCCACGACACCCCTCAATTCCAACTAACTAAGGACCCTGTGTTTTCTATGAGGCCACCCAGGCAGGGGCATGGGACAGCCTCTAAGGCCTCGTGTTGTTTGCCTTTCCCTTTGTTGCCACCTGAGGGTCTGCATATGGGCCAGGGGGTAGGCCCTGAGGGACATCTGGGGGCTAGGCCTGGGGTTCCCTCAGCTACACTTATTTTATGCCACCGCCCCCCCCCGACTTCCCCCTGCTTGAGTTAAAAACCAGGCCAACTCCCTGTTCCCAGCCTCAGAGACTCCTACTCCCAGCTCAGCCAGGCTCACCTCTCATGCTTTTGGTTCATGCCCTGACCCAGGTTCTCCTTGTAGAAGCGCTGGGAGGGGACAATGGTCTTTGTCGTCCAGTAGAGCATGATGTTGGTCAGCAGATCATTCAGAGAGAACTTCCTGGGGAAGCAGAACATGAAGGTCCACTCTTGGTGCCAAATGTAGTTGTATAAAAAGCAAAGCCCTGCTACATTCAGCTGTAGGCATGAGCCAAGCCCCCTGGCTTCCCCCCTCAGATGTCATTTCAAGGTAGGTAACATTATCCCCTGCCACAGGCAGGCTTGGTCCAGGGTCACCAGCTATTGTGAGGACCCTTGATGCAGAGTGCTAATGACAAGGAAGAGTGTGTGTCTAATCCATTGATTGCTCAATCACTCATGTGATGTAGGTAGTATTATTATCTGTTTTACTGCTAGGAGGAAAATCCAGACCCAAGGCAGGATACACATTCCACAGCCCTTGCCCCTGTCTTGCCTGTCTCAGCTCTCCCACAGTGGACTCTGCCAATTCCACTCTCCAGAAAGCCCAGTTCCAAGGATCCAGGGTTCTCTAGGGCAATGAATTTCTCACTTCCCAGAATCCTGAGGGACTTCTGTATTCATTGGGTGCTGTCTGGACTTGGAGCCCCTGGAGGCAGGAAGAGGCCGGACCTCTGAGTTTTCCTCAGGATCCAGCACACAGCTGACTAGAGGCGATGAACCAGGAGTCAAGAGACCCAGGTTCTGGACACGGCCATATTACCAGAGAGCCCCGGGACTCTGATGAACTCTTTGTTTATCCTGTAGGTTCTCCAGTTTTTCCTCTGACAAAAATAGGATCACCACTAAATGGAAAACACGTGGAAGCATCAGAAGTAAAACCACTCTACAAAATCCAGGTCCATCAATAAGACAGCCCATTCATCTAGAATGTTGGAACTCCCAAGTGAGTGCAGTGAGGATTCACTCATTGAGCACCAACTGTGTGCTAGGTGCTAAGGCTCCAAAGATGCATGGGGCTGGGTGCCTTTCCTGGAGGAGGGACAGTATGGCCTGGCAGGGAGACTGAGTCATAAGTCATTGACTATACTGTTCCGTGACAGAGGTAGGGGTAAGTTTGTGGTAGAAGTGGGGGAGGGGAATAGGGACAAGTTTTACCCAGGTGGAGGGAGAAGTCAGGGCAGGCTTCTCAGAGGTGACCTCTGCACTGAGCCTCAAGAGGAGAATAAAATGAGGAGAAGGTGTTCACTCAGATTAGCTTGGCAAGGGCAGCAGGCCGAATGCAGAGGGCAGTCGCAGGGGACTGCCTTTGGGGACTCCTGAATGCCTCCATCTGCTTCCTTGGCCCAACTGCCAGTGACCTCCTCCTGTCTAAGGTCTCATGTCACCCCAAGGTCCTTTCTCCACCTGCCCTCCCTCCATGCTCCTGTCCCCTTTCTCCTCTCATCCCTCCTTAATCCTGCACCCTGAAGCTGCCCCTCCTGCCCAGGCCTTGTGGGTAGGGGCCTGTCAACTAGGTTTTGTCCCCCAGGTCTATCTGTCCATCTCTTTCTCTCCCTCCCTCTTTACTTCCCCGCTCATTGGTAGCCAATAAGGCTTTCCCCCGCATCCTGCGGCCTGTGTTTTCTCTGTGGAGATCCCCCTGCCTCTACCCACTAACTCCACCACCAACACAGCGGAATAAGCTCCTCGGGTCCAGCCCCACCTGCGCTCCAGATCTGCGGGTTCTGTTACCAAGTGAACATCTCGACCTGGACACCCTCTGGTAACTGCCTTTCAACCAAGTCCACAGCAAGAAAGAGCTCGGCATCTCTGCTCCCCTGATGCCAGCACCCCCCCGCCCCGCCCCCACACTTGTACCCACTCACACACGGTGGCTCCCCTTCTCATCCTCATTCCCCATTGAAAAATGGCGTCTCCAGGCCCTGGCATGGAGCCGGAAGCCTGGGTCCTCGTGGACTCTTCCCTGTCCCTGTTCCCTCCAAGCCCTGGCTGCCCTCATTCCTCCACTCCCACCCGTCTCCATCCCTGCTCCTGTGGTTGTTCCCTGAATCACAGAACACTTCCTGGGCCTCCTGCCTGGCCCTCAGCTCCAGGGCAATGAGTCGATTCATTAGAAGCCAATTCACTCCAAAGGGACACTTGGCTGAGTTCACTTGTTTCCCTCAGCCATTTAGATCAGCTTATTATTGAGCTACATCTCAAGTCCTTTTATTTTCTTTTTTATTTTGAGATACTTTTTGAGATAATTTTAAGTTGCACAGCCTGGCCTTGAACTTTCAGTCCTCTGTCTCAGTCTTCCAAGTAGCTAGGATTACAGGCACGCACTGCCACACCCAGTGTGTGTGTGTGTGTGTGTCTCACTGGGGATGGAACCCCAGGGTCTTACTCATGCTAGGCAAGTATTTATCACTGAGCTACTGCCTCAGCCTGAGTTAATTATATTTTCACTTTCTGAACTATATTTATTTTAAGGAATATTCAATTTACTTCTACCCTGCTCCTGACTATTGAAGCTAGAACCTGGAAGGAGGAGAGGCTGAGGGCAAAAGAGAGGCATTCAGGAAGGCCTTCATATTAAACAGGAAAACATGAAGAATTTGTGTAATAAGGGGCTTCTTGGGTATAAAGAACATATTAAGACATTTTCATATTCAGGAATATGTTCTCCTTAGGCCTTAATACTTCCTCTCTAAAATCCTGATCTCTAGCACCAACAGCATGGAGCAGGATTGGGGGAATGAACTTAGGGTTGGCTATTTAGGCTTCACTAGCTGCACTGAAATTATATGCACTTTTTTTTTTTGTTTTGTTTTTGGTACCAGGAACTGAATCCAGGGGCACTTAATCACGGAACCACATCCCTGGCCCTTTTTTATATTTTATTTAGAGACAGGGTTTCACTGCGTTGCTTAGGACCTCACTAAATTGCTGAGGATGGCTTTGAACTCACAATCCTCCTGCCTCAGCCTCTGGAGCTGCTGGGATTATAGGCATGCACCACCGTGCCCAGCAGCATATGCAACTTTGTGGTGCCGGGGATTGAATTCAGGGCTTTGCATATGCGAGCTCTACCACTGAGCTACACCCACTGCCCCTATATGAATGTCTTTTTAAATATAATTTTGATGATAAAATAAAAACCAGTCAATGATAGTATAATTAAAACAAACATGTAAACTCTGTGAACTGGCTTTTGCCAAGTGAGCTGAGTGCTTCTGTCTCCCTTTGGTTCTGATCACAGCTTGAAAACTACCACAACCACCATTTCCTGTGTTAGTGTTTTTTCTAGAACACAGATCTCATCCTGTCAGTCCCCTGCTCAGAGCTTTGGTGTTTCTGTTGCCAGGGCAGATGCTGCAGGAGCTGCCCAGGTCTGGTGGGGCCCCACACCTGCTACAGGCCAGGCCCCCCGCCACAGTGGTCCTGATGAAACTCCATCCACCCTTGGGTCCTGCAGAGTG